TAGGGAGAATTTAGAGAAACCTAATGGTCATGTTTTTGGACTGTGGGAGAACATGGGAGAACTCAGGGAGAACATGCAAGCTCCATGCAGAAAGACCCCGGGCCAAAAATCGAACCCATGACCTACGTACTGCAAGGCAGCAGTACTACCCACTGCGCCACTGAGCAGCATTTAATCATGAATTCTTGATATACATTTAACCCCATGTAGTCCTTTTGCTTACTGGCTAATACACTTAGGGCCGGATTTATCAAGATCCAATTTTGCGTGCAGTAATTTGCGCTCGCAAACTGGAATTTTGCGCGAGGGGCTGAACCATGGTTTGCGGGTGATTTAACAAGAGCGATTGCGTAACTGGTGGCAGGTGCAAAACTGTTGGAGACGCCCTATTTAAATGATGGTTTTGCGCGTTTGGTGGTTTGCGGCATGGCGAGTTTGGACAGCAGAAAGCGCAAAAGGAAATTCGACCCCATGGAAATGGAGGTGTTGGTGGATGAAGCCAACAAACATTTAAGTGAACTACAGTAAAAAAGTGTGACTGTCACACAGAGGAACGCTATATGTGAACAAATCTGTAATAAAGTAAACGCTGTTGGTGAAACCTTGCGAACAGTGGATGAAGTAAAAAGAAGATACCAGGATATTAGAAGGCGAACCAAAGAAAAACTGGCATATAACAAAACATCTGCGAACAAAGCAGGAGGGGGCACAGTAGATGAGATGCCTCTGACCAGCATTGAGGAACAAGTACAGCTGACGCTCTGTGAGGAGCAAATCACTGGAATTGCAGCTCAAAAATGGCAATGCTGGATAAACGAAATGTTTTGATGATCGTTTCCTTGTTCATTCCAAAAATATTCACACGGAGTGAAAAAATGCGTTCTCTGCGTCTCCTTGCTTCATTTCAATGTCTCCTTCTTGCGGCAATAACCGCTGCCATGTGTGCGCAATTACGCATACAGACCATTTGCACCTTCTTTTGAAACGTGTTATTTATAGAGTCAGATACCGTTAGCAAAATTGCTTTCAGGTTTGATAAATCACTTTGCGAGTGCTAAATTAATATATTTACATGATCTCCTCCCACAAGATGCACTTTTGCGTGTAAACGCCCCATATTGCATATTCATTGCAGAAAAAGTACTAAATGGATAAGAGGCGCTATTTAGCACATTTTAAAGACCAAATCCTTTTAGCACGCTGTTGATAGATCAGTTTTAGCGTGCGCAGTGAAATAGCTCACGTTTTAATACAAGCAAACCTTTGATAGATCCGGCCCTTAGAGCCCGTGTTGCCATAAAAGGCTTATATAAAACTTTTATTATTTTTGTGTCTCCAGACAGATTTGTTTTTTTGGTCCAATATCACTCTTTAAACAGTTTAGGTTGCCGGCCCCTTGCCTTACACCCTTTGTAAATGGACGACAAAAACCATTGTTACTCATCAGTTTTTCTAAGCATTGGCAGAAATGCTTAACTAAACAACAACAACAAAATCTTTGACTTACCTGTGCCTGCAGGACCAGCAGGAGCTCCACCCATGTTCATACCAAGAGCCTGAGCTAAGGTGATGTAACACCTAAGCAAACAAAGGTAAAAACAGGCATGTAGCATTTTATTTTGCTGGGATAAAAAATTTTGGCAATTTTTTTTTTAAACCCCTCAAATGTTTATCCTTATCTGACAGGGAATGCAATTATTGTCTAAAAACAATTATACTGGACTACAAACAAGATATATAATCATCTGTAATACAGTGCATTAAGCCATTATTTTATAAACTAGTCTCAATCATATTTTCCAAACTACTAACTAATTGTATCTGAAACCCAAAAGGAGCTGAGTAGAGAATTAGAGAAAATATGTTTGAATAAACAGGGAGGGTCCCAAATAAAAAAACAAGAGAGAGAAACTCTAAGTTAGGGGAATGATAAGATACTGGCCTAGGCAGTGAATGAAAAAAGAAGAAGAGAAAAGAATCAAATGTTGCTTGCACTGCCTTCAGCCATAGGGTCATTGTTTTACTTCTATGGAGAGCCACTGTCAGATCTCTGCTTGTACTTCCCTCTTTGCTGCTGTCCTTTCACATCCTTGTCTCATTGACATGTCTCTTACTGTGTCTCTTCTAATTTTTCTATGATTTTCTTTCTATCCCACCATGCTTTTGGTGATTGTTGGTTCATTCCTGCCTCTCATTTTCAGTCTAATATATTTCTTTTGCATGTCAGCCACCTTGTCTTCCAGTGAAAGGGGTTAATGATCACTGAAGAAGAATGCTTATTCAATCTGTATCTACTGTAATTTTTAGATGGTTGAACGGTAAACATGCTCACAGTACATGGTTTTAAATATTACATTACTCTTATAGAAGATATTGGAAGGAAAAGTAATTCCTCAAGGCTGGATAAAGAAGTGCCTTCTTCTCTTCAGGTTACCTATAAGGAATTTTGCAGAATCTAGTCCCGGGAGCTATGGTACCCCCTTTTGTATCTCAGGTCAGGTTAATTTTTTATTGAAAAGCCTAATAACTAATTTTCCTCTAGACTTTTTTTTTTCTTCATATAATTGTTTTCCAAGTTATCCTGTTCTCATAAAAACTTCTGTGCTGCCCCCTTGAGGAGACTTTGTTATTTGTGTTTTATATATTGATCTGTTTGAACTACTGTAGCTGTTAGTTCCACACAGTTTCATCTAAGCAGTCTCTGTGGTGTTAAGCCTCCTATCTTCTTGTTTTCGCCAATAAAGATATCTGTTTGCAAGTATTGGGTAATGTGTAATGTCAGAGTCTGAATTTATATTTTTTAATAAGTTCAATTCAGTTGTTTGCGTAATGTAAACAAATGCTAATTACGTTGGCATGTGTATGGTGTTTTCAATGTAAATTAGCATCGTGCTAACCGTTAACTTACCTCTTATTGCTTTTAGCTCATTTAAGCTATGTTCTCTGATTATTGATGTGTAAAGCATATTGCAATGGCCATTCCTATGTCTGTGTCACAGTTTTACAGTTTAACCAGTGAAAGAAGCATTGCAACAGGCTTTCTGCTGACATATTGATGACGCTGTTAGCTTTCTGTAAAGCTAATTCTAACTTTGGTGAAAGGCAGAATACCTTCAACATTTAAAATGTGATATCTCCTACTGTCTGACGGTTCATATTTTTTTTCCTATTTATACTGAACACTGATTTGTACTTTCCAGCATCTTAGTTCTGTTTTGCATTGATAACCTTGTATTCTTTAATATGTGTTTGTGTGTTTTCACTGATGTACTTTTACCTGTCAGTCAAAGGAGTAATGACAAGCCTTTCTGTGCAGCCCAGGAACTCATTCTGGTAAATAAAGCTTATGTCAGTGATGCTTATGGACATCAGGTCTGACTTCTCAATGAAGTAGAAACGACACTGCTTCAGCCAGTCAAAATCAGTGGGGCTTTTGATATGTGACCGGCACTGAAAAGAAGAGAGAAAAGAAGGAAAAAAAATGGTTGAGACAAACTACCATGGATGGATGTTAAGTTACAACAACTGAAAAAACTATTGATATCTTCAGGCAAATGCTAATGCAACTTAAAAAACGGAGAAGACTGGATGTATGAGAGAAAATAGGGGGAAAGAGGAGGTAAAAAGATTTTAGGAGAGAATTTAAAGGAAATAGGTGAGAGGTAAGTGAGAGTCAACCATTGGAGAGAATTATTTATTTATACTTATTTGACTCTGGTTAGGCCCACTGAGATTAAAGATATATTTTCTAAGGGGGATAGAGAGCAGAAGGCGGAAAAAACAACAGTCATACTGGTCTACATTAAAAACATTCACTAATTGATGAGCTGGACTGCAGTGGTTTTAACATAGCTTTTGTCATAGCTTGAAGCCAAAGTTCAGTTTAATATCAGACTCTTGATCTATAATTGATTTCATGCATAAATGCCAAACATTATTAGAGTAGAAAATTAGATAACGGGATGACAAAAAAGTGATCATCAAGTTTAGAGGAAACAAAGGTAAAATAGAAAAAATAAAGAAAAGATTATGTATGATTCACACCAAGATAAGGTACAAAAATACCCTTGTATTGTAAACTAGCTGTAATTTACCACATTTGTAGCAGAACATGTGAGCGGAGCGTGGAGCGAGTGGTGGAGCAGAGCGGAAGAAATATGGTGGAGCACAGAGCGGTTTTCGATTCAAAGGCCGGAGCGAGAATTTCGCTCTGCACTCAATTAAAAATTATGCATTATAAAATTTGTAAAATAACATTTATTTGATTTAAGGGTGATTTTTCATCATGTTTTATTGCATGACCCCCAGCGCAGCGCTGAATGTGACGAGGAGGAGGATATGCCTGCGCTGTCGCAGATGGAAGTGGATGCACTTACAGCCAATGCAGAAAACACGATAACCACCTACTTCACTACCTCGAGTTTTACATTTGAGAGGCCCTATCCATCTGCTTCAGCTGGTGATAAAAGATGCAGAGATGAGGATTGCATATTGTGTGATAAGAAATGGGATAATATATCATAGAACATACACTAACTTTACTTAACAATACAGAGTGGTTTACATAAAGTGATCATTGTGGTAAGAGCCTGTTTTTGAAAATGGATTGCATACATGCATGATACGCTTTTATCTCATTTGCAATGGGAGGTGAAGTGACCTTTTTTAATGTAGTCTAGTAAAACCAATTAATAATTAACTAGGAAAAGTGGGGCAACATTAATGGAGCGAGGTGTTATGTTCACAACTGGGAAACAGTGCGATAATTTAACAGCCAGTTAGGACAATACACATGTATCCGTCACATCATTAAAGTCGTAGGGAAGCGGCTGTTCCAATGGCTGAAGTTCTGAATTCTCCCCAGTGGTGCATGACTTTACACAAGTGAATAAAGTGAATGTGATTGGTCGTTTATCAAGGGGGCAGGTTTGTTGCGGCCAAAGGTTCGCAAGCAAGTTTGGTTGTGGCCGGCTTGTCGGAAACATCTTGCTAACCAGTTAGCAACTTAGTGCTAGTAGGTTCCCAATGGAAAAATTACATTGGGACCAAGTAGCACTAAATTGGTTACTTAGAAACGACACTGTCAAGGAACGCTATGGACAGAGGAAACAAGCAAGAGGAGGGGAGTTTTTTTTGTTGGAGGTCGTGGACGAGTCTCCTCCGTCATACATTTTTTATTTAGAGGAGGAAAGTGGGGACGAAGTTGTTGTGGAATGCCAGGAGGATGCCAGGGAGGCAGAAGCTTATTTTGTTGTAGAAGGCTTACAGCCGTACATGTTTGAGCCCTTGCCTCGCAACGCTGCCAGTTCTGTTAGCTCTGCCGAAGAAAAGAGATTCATCCCTGTGAACATTGGGACGTAACTCAATGGTAAAGTAAATGTTTCTTATTTCAATCGTTGTGTATATTATCTGCGACATATGATTCAAGGTGCTATGATTGATTGACAGATTTGCCGAATTTAGGTGTACAAGCTGACGTATAACTAACTGGCCTAAAAAAGAATCCTGTCTTAAAAAAGATTTTAAGATAGGATTTTTTTTAAATGGAAATTTTCTAACTATTTGGACAATATTGTATGATACAGATTACATTTATATACATGTTTAAGCCAGAATGATTTGACATTTAAATATGACTTCTCTACAACTTTAAATCCAACACTGTGTGTCCCAGGGCCCTGGCATAATTAGATGAAGAAAAAAAGGAAAATGAAGATGAGCGTCGAGCGAAGTTTGATCGGAGCGTACTGGTGCAACTTTGAGTGGCGAATAAGTGAATATCCTCCTGAGTGGGTAGTGGGAACTCCGCTGCGCAGCTCTTCGCTCCGTTCACATGCTCTGATCAACAGTGATCCAAATGCAGTCCTTTCTGCATCATTTAACACTAACTCTTAATAAAGTTGAGGTATTTTGGTACAGTAACGAAAGCCATTAGAAGTTCAAAATACTTATAATCTGCCTAATTGTGGTTATCTTTGGCATTATCCAACAATTAGACATCAAGCTGAGTGTATTTGGGCTGCCCCATAAAATAACTCAATTGAGATTGCTCTTATTAATCTATTTCACTCACCAGCTGATCAAATATATCCCTTTGGTGGACATGGATAGTTATCAGGGTCTCATATTTGGTCCTCGCTACAGCTTCCAGATCTTTCGTTGTTGTTTCAATTAGTTTATTCAGCAACTCAAGGAAAAAAGAGTTGGTTTTTGACATAACTTTGGGATCAGATGCGGCCTTGATAAGAGCCTTCTCAGAGTCTCTTGTCCATATCATCTGGATACCCAGCAGCCCCACCTGCACCAAGAATATCACTGAATTAATGATATGGTTATTGATTGACATGAATACTTAAAATAAAATGTTGTTTTAAATACCTCTTATGAATGTAGGCTTTTGGGTTGTGAGCTTGGGGAATAGTTCTAAAATAAAGGGTTTTGATTTACCTGAGCAGGGAAAAAATTGAGGAACTCAGTAAGCTGGAAGTCAGATTCCTGGATGGCCTGAAAAGCCTGTCGAATCACTCGGTGCAATGACCCCTGGGATTCTTTCAGCAGAGCGTTCAACCATACTTCAACATTTCCCTCCGCTGTGACAGGATGCTCCAGCTCTACTGTTTCCCCCTCACGTGATGAGACAGCAAGAATTCGATCATATATCTGAAACAGAACAATTTTCTTTGAATAGGATAAAGCATGTTTTAATATATATAGATTTCTCTTTATTTAAGCTAATGATTTTCTCCTGAGAAAATGTATCAGTTCTAAGATTTACTGTGACACAAGTAATAGAGGTTGTAGTTTTTTGCTTTTAAAACTACCTTACAGTAATTTATCATTTCAGGTTTGAGATAAGATGCTGATAAATTAAAATTTTTGCTTATTTTGTCAGGTACAGCTATGTGAATGTATCCAAACTGAAAGTTATGCTCCAGACCAGCACAAAATGTATGAAACTTTAAAGTGGAAGGAAAACTCTAAATGACTTTGATTGTTTTTTTTGACAAAAAGCATATTTTGACACTTATTTTGTTACAGAAAAGTGTCATTTTTTTCATCTATTCAGTCCTACTTTTTCCGAAGAATAATAAACGATCACCTAGCTAAATAGAGACTATGTGAACACCATGAAAGGTGACAAATACAGCAGACAGATCAGAGGTGAAGATGTAGAGAAGTTGAAAGTAGTTACCTTATAGATAAGTGACCCTAGTTACACACACCAGTTATCTCTGGGCTCTGTTTAACTTTAGAGGGACATCCACTGACAGAATTATTTGGAGAAGCTGTCAAGATGGAACTACAGAGATCCACAGCTCAGGCTCACAAGAGGCTTTGATCAGCAAAGAACAAAACTAAACTTTTTTAATTGCATTAGAGACGCACCAATCCATTTTTTTCACATCTGATAAATGATCCAGATAATTAGTAGACATCAGAGTGATAACCAATGCAAATATCGTATCAGTGTATTTTCTAGCTTTCATGCAAAATAATATAACATGTGTAAAATTAACACTGTATTGGTGTATAAGGAAAAAGATAGACAACAGTAAATATACAGCAAATAGTCTAGTGATTTAGGTCAAATGATACACTAAATAAGTGTCAGAAGCCTAATTAAGATCAGGACGTAAACTTCACTCAAAATTTGTGAGTCTTAAGATTTTGTGTTTATACAACCTAACTGTAAGTCTCTCGACATGTAACTTAGACTATGTCATAGGGCTACACTATATGGCCATAACTTATATCATTAAAAAGATCTTAATTTGGGTTGATACGATATGATTTGATATAAATAAACAAAAAACCTCAGAAAGACTGCCAAGTATGCTCACAACAGAATCCTGTTGAATCTTTTGACAATTATGTTTCCACATTTAGAAAACTGCTTAGATATAATATCCATCCATACATTTTCTTTCGCTTTATCTGGGGTTGGGTCACGGAGCCAGCAGACTAAGCAGAGATGCCCAGACATCCTGATCCACACACACCTCCTTCAGCTGCTCTGTGGGGACCCCAAGGTGACACAAGGCCAGCTCAGGAACATAGTCCCTCCAGTGTGTCCTGGGTCTTCCAAGAGGCCTCCTCACAATAGGACATGCCTGGAACACCTCGGAAGCGACCAGGAGACTTCCGGAACAGATGCCCGAGCAACATCAGCTGGCTCCTTTTGACATGGAGGAGCAACAATTTTACTCTGAGCTCCTCCCGGGTGACTCAGCTCCTCACCCGATCTCGAAGGGTGCGCCCAGCCAACCTGCGAAGGAAACTCATTTTGGACTCTTGTATTCGCAATCTTGTCTTTCGGTCATTACCCAGCTCTCATGACCATAGGTAAGGGTGGGAACGTAGATCGATTGATAAATTGAGAACTTCGTCCCCCGACTCAGCTCCCTCATCACCACGACAGTCTGATACAGTGACCGCACCACGGCCGCACCGATCCATCTATCGATCTCACATTCCTATTCCACATTGAACTTCTCCACTTGATACAAGGACTCTCCACCGACCTGAAGAAAGGAGTCCCCCTTTCTCCGATGGAGAACCATGGCCTCTGATTTGGAGGTGCTGAACCTCATCCCGGCCACGTCACACTCGGCTGCAAACCGCCCCAGTGCATGTCGAAGGTCCTGGTTTGATAAAGCCAACAGAACAACATCATCTGCAAACAGCAGAGCATATCCCGAGGTTCCCAAACCAGATATCCTCCAGTTCCTGGCTGCACCTAGAAATTCTGTCCATAAATGTAATGAACAGAAACGGTGACAAAGGGAAGCCCTGGCGGAGACCAAAATGCGCCGAGAACAGGTCTGACTTACTGCTGGCAATGTGACCCAAGCTCCTGCTGAGTTCATACAGAGAACGGAAAGTCCTTATTAAGGAGGCAGCTCACGGGGGGTTGGCTTCAATATAACATTTAAGAAATATATATAAAAAAAAAACATATAACCTACTGTAGGCCATCAGCAAGTGACACAAGCTGTAATAATAGACTCTATTGTATACTGACATATCAGAAATGTAATTCACCATCACTAAAAAATAATCTATCCATTTTTCTGTCACACTTATCCCAAGCGCTGTCGCGAGGGGTGCTTGTGCCGAGCTCCTGCTGTCTACGGCTGAGAGGCGGGGTACACCCTGGACAGGTTGCCAGTCCATCGCAGGGAAACACAGAGACAAACAGGACAAACAACCATTCAAACACACAATCAAAAAACTAATGAAAATTTAGGGAAACAAATTGACCTAACAGTCATGTTTTTGGGTTGTGGGAGGAATGGCATCTCTCTGGAGTACCCAGAGAGAACCCACGCATGATCAGGACGAACATGCAAACTCCAAGCAGAGAGAGCCGGGCTGGGAATCGAACCCAGATCATCTTGTGCTAGGCGACAATGCTACCCACTGTGTCACTGAGCAGCCTACTGTGGAATATATTTATTTATTTTCCAGCCCTACCACACCAGGGAACTGGCTCGTGAGAGTATAACACAGACACACCTACACAAAATTATCTATCTGGTCTTATGTATCTCCCTGCCTGCCTGGTTGTCAGTCATCTATATATAGACAGATATAGATATTATTTAGTCACCTTATCATGGAATTGTACGGTTTTGATGTTGTCAAAGACATTGAGAAGGTGTGCCTGGATAGTGTGGGAGTCAGAGGCCTGGCCCAGAATTTCCAGCAAGGCAGGGTCAGAGATGAAGAAAAAACGTGGGAAAAGCAGTCGCTTCTTCTCCAAATAACTGAAAAAAAACAAACAAAAAAAACAATTCAGTTATAAAAATCCTTTTAATAGTTAAAAAGCAAACCCATAATTTTAAATTGTTTATAACACTTTGGTATAAGTTGAGTAAAAAGTGCCTGTGCTCACCCTGTAAGTGACTTCTGGCAGATCTCCAGCTGCTCCAGCAGGTGAGGAAGCAGCTGGCCCATCGTCTCATCTCCCACACACGATTGCACAACATTGGGCATTTCGTGAGCTCGCATCATGATCTTCACCCAGGACTTATCAATAGTTGAGAAACGCTTTGCTTCCTAAATAGTTTTAAACAATGTATTACTTCTCAAACAACTCATTAGATTCACATTTATTATACATGATGCGCCAATTGTATTTTGTATTCCTTTAAAACCAAAAAAAGATACTGTATAGTGTATATAATAGTCTACAAAGACAAATTATTGTGAATTGTGAGTGCCTGATCATTGACCAGATTTCAAATTTAAATTTATCTTAAAATTTCAGGATTATCTTGAGCACTCTGTTGTAGAGCTGCCTAGAGTTGATTTGAATATGGAGATTTTCAGCTTAATTCTATATCTTCAGATATGGGATCTCTTAAGGAGAAAGCAGAGTAATCAACAGGTCAAGTTTTCCAAAAACCTGATTTTTATGAGGTTTATATATATAGGCAAAGGTCTAATTGCTTATGAATCTGAAGTGAAGGCAAATCATCAAACCAACAATGTTGTCTTGTTAAAGTTAACCACAGGATTATTTAGAGGACTACACATAGGCTGCCATAATTTACTCTTATAAATTATCTTCCATAGTTATAGTATTGAAGGATGTAATCAGTTATAACTCAACAGTCATCTCGTTATCACGAGAAAACGGCTTTCATTATCTTTGGTTGATGAGAAAATTTACTGAAAAAGTATCAGAGGGACACAACCGCTCTCGGCTGCCGTACATAACACCAGAAAATGTATAGGAAATTTAAATGATATATAAACAAAAGTATAATTTATGAAAGTAGTGATAACTCCGCCAAATTTCGAATAGAAGGTATTTTTGTGTTTATTTTTTCTTGACTGTTAATGGTAAAGACTGTGTCATTTCTGGTTAAAAAAAAATAACAACTGATGTGTTAGAATACTTTTAGCTGGTGGTGTATGTGGATAATCAATCAGGTATATCTGTAACCCTGCTTTTACCTTGGGCAGCTGTTTAGCAATGTCTCCCCCTACAAACACAGCTTCCAGATAGATCCATAGATTCTGGACATTCATCCACTGTTCAATGATATCAGTGGTGTTAGAAAGGTTCTGAACCCATTTCTGGATCTGAGCTTTAAATGGGGTGTTGTACCTTAGGAAGAAATTAAATCTGCATGTTAAACAAGCATTGACGTAGACATCTGGGTAATTTTTGCACTTTCATTTTTTTTTAAACCTATGGGAGAAACTTTTGTTTACAAAATAATATTCACTTATTGTACCTAATTCTTCGGATTTACAATTTCTAAGTATTATAAATGGCATACCGATTGCTCATGAGAGACCCCAAAATCATCAAACTGTCATCCAAGCTAGATATGATTTCTGCTGTGCTGTCTCCTCGCAGAAGCAGCTCTCCCCGTGTCTTGAAGTTGGCAAATGTAAAGGTTTTGATGTCCCACTCAGCGATCACTTGCTTCAGTTTCTGCTCAATATCTCGCTCTTTCACAGCACTGATACAGATGTCCTTTAAATTAAGTTCCAAGATAGATGTTGTAATGATTTAAATTTAAAACAAGCACAATTTATAAAAGGGCAATGTGAAAATTTAGGATACAGAGCATGTTCATAAAGACAAAGTAAAATCTGCCATTCTTTTTTGCTTTCTTGTGATACTTAGAACACAATTTATGTCTAAAAATAGGGTAATCTAACTAAATTCAAAAAGTGTTTTTAGATAATTTTTGTTCATAAAAGGAAAGGAAGGCCTTGATGATTAGCGCAACAGCATGTTTAGTTTTTTGTAAGCTGTGATATGATATGTCCACTCCTAATGATAAAAACACAAACTTACTGACAACACAAATGTTTCTAGTAACCTAACATAAATACAGCCTCACAGCATTTCTTGCCATACATGGTGAACCTTCATTTTCTACGGTACTTACCTCAACTTCCTCCTTAAACTTCAGCAGAGACGCCTCCATTATGTTACGAAGCTTGAATGTGTCAGTTTCAATCTCAAATGTATGGCCAGTCACCTGAGAAAAAAAAAGATGAATCACAGCCATTTCTGATTGAAAAACATATGTGTGTTTGATGAGTACTGATTTAAACTTTTACTCAATTTCCATCTGACCTCTGTGATTCTCTTCCAGTGGCGTGTCATCATGGCTTTGTTAGTCATGAGCTCTAGCAGGGGGCAGCACTCATTAAAGTCGTCAATAGTTTTCTTCAGATCCTGGAAAGCTTGCCATTCCTTTAGAGCATGAGGCAGCTTGCGGCATCTGTTTAGTTAAGCAGATTTTACACCTGCTATTTAAAACAGTTGATACCTTAACAAATTATAAGGTGATCTTAACCCTTTAAAGCCAAGTGCATCGTATTTGATACAGTAGATTTTGAAACCTCTGCAGCATCAGTGTGATGTTTTTGTTCTTGAAACCCTGACTTACATAATCAGACACATGTAGTGAACAGAAAACATATAAAAGATGATATAGAAATGCGTAATATTTCAAAATTGATGCAAATAAATTATGTAATTTAATGTTTTTACAAAATTTATATAGTTATTTTATTTGTCACAAAGTTCAATGACAATTACAATTTTGGAAAATTAGAATCTTCTGTCAATTATTTCCTTGTTCAGGCTTTAAAGGGTTAAATATGAATTTATTTTTGTTGCCATCAAAGGTTTAGCTGTCATTAAACTAAGAATGATTGAATCAACAAATTAATGCTGTTTGTTGATATGATAACATCAAAGTCAAGGGGACTAAACTAGGAATCAGATACTTTAATACCTGCAGCTTCACAGAAACATACAGCCACTCTGTTGCAAAAATGTAATCAAAGTCTTTAGTCAATTCATTAACCCTGCCTGACCAATAACTTCTTTTAAGTTTCAGCATTGCTGTGATCAAGTGTCGCTGATGTAGCTGCAACTATTCCCCTCTGAAGAGAAACCCCTCCGGTGGAGGTTTTAAAAGGGCCAGCTTTTCGTTTCAACATTCTATTTTGCCTGTGGCTCCGTGCCGCTAAAGGCTAGTCAAAGCGCTTTCAGCTGAAGGCTACGCTAAGTAGCAATCAAATCCCTCCGGAGAAGTCGGCACTCGCTGAACCAAGTCATTTTAACCCCTGGTCTTTTGTGTTTTTTTTACACACTGAACGATTTATCACTCAGGCTGGATTCACTCTTTCAGTAGTATCTGAATGAACAGAGACACATTTATTTGGTTGGTGGTTAATAATGTTTTTGATAGCCAAAGTCCAAATTACTAAATTGGTAAAAGACAACTGAATTTTTATCAACCAAAGTCAGGAGTCCAACCTTTCAGGTAAGAGGCTGAAAACCCTGGTCAGTAGGTCAATTAGAGTTATAATCATTCAACTGATAATAATTAATTAGTTTTCCCATTGATTTCAATTACCTATTAATGAACTATCTCTTCCAGTTCTTGTTATTTCATATATTCATAATCTGGTAAATGCTCACAACAGCACGCTTCTCATTATCAAGAGATCAAATAAAAAAAATAATAACATCAGTTTAAAGTTTTCACCATTAGGTGAGATTATTAAATCTAGTTTCAGGATCATGGAGGGGGTGATTAAAACTGTTCAATTATTAGTGTTCTTAACTAGGTTAGAAACAACTACTAGAAACAAAAAAAAAAGGTTTAACCTTGATTGAAAGTCGAGCAGCTCATTATTAATCCTCTCAATGTTGATGTCAGCCCAGAGTATGTCGTTGTATCCATTGACTCTTTCGATGACATTGTTGTAAAGGCCATACAACTTCTGCAGCAGGACCAGCTGATTTTTAATCTTTAGCAACTGATGGTGCTGTGTAACCGGAATTCCAAAGAGCTCCTGTCCTCCACTGTAAGTTATGTACTTCCTGTAAAGGTTGTCAAACCGATTCTAAAAACAAACAGGAGGGAATTAATCATTTAGATACAGTCTAGAATGTAAATATACTACCATATCAAAATAATTTACCGGAGATAACTTTAAACAATTTTATATCGGAAATAAAATATGTAATTTGTCAATTATTTTTGCAAACAAATAAAAAGCAAACAAGTTTGTCAATGACAAAGACTATTTGTATCAACACCATATATTTCAGGATTAATCAGCATGTGATCAGAAACCACATAACTTTCTGTTTCCATATGTAAGTGGTCCTTATCATAAAGGATAAGTAATTTACTGCAAACCAGTACAAACGAACCTGGAACATAATTAGTCGATCACTGGCCTCCTGAGGAGCCAATTCCTTCACCATGGGCCCATCCTAAAAAGAGAGGGGGTAAAAAGTCAGTAGATTTTTTTATTATAACAATGAACAGTTAACAAAAGGCTCAGTGCTTCCCATGTGGCTATTTGTGTTGGTATACTGGTATACTGCCTTAGTTGAGCAGGGCTGAGGGTGAGGAAATGTTAAGCTTATTTGAGCATGTGTGTCATCTTCTGGATTGCTCCCCGGGCGGCGCACAATTGCAGCCCACTGCTCCCCAAGGGAATGGGTTAAATGCAGAGAGTTCATTTTGTTGCTGTGTACTTGTGACAATGTAATAACAATAAAGTTGAATTCTATTCTTTATATTATATGTGTGTTAGAATGAATCAGATGTGGAATTTGCAGTGTTGAACTGCCTTAAGGTGGAGTGTTTTACTATTGCTGTGGCATCACAGACTATTTTCTTTTCTAACTGAACCATCAAATGAGCATCTTTAAATAAATTTTTTAATAGTTTCGCTAACAGTTTTAACCATCTGGCTAAGTGACGCTTCTGCAGCACAACTATTGAGCCCTAGATGTAAAACCTAGGCATCGGTTGTGTAGCAAAGTAATCCATTGATTTCTATGATACTCTACCTTTTCATATTCCTGGTAGAATTGATCACAGTCATCTTGAAAGGTCTTTACATTGCAAATAAGTTCTTGCTGGAAGTGTGGCTGCAAGGCATCCAACTCATTCTGCACCTCAGTAGTTCTGGATAAGAGCTTTTCCCAGGTGTAGCGTAGAGCATCAACCTTGTCAACCTCTTCCTTGGCCACTGACAGTCCGTATTTTTGAAGCATTGCATAGGACTCCTGTGAGGAGGGGGAAAAGGGTTAATTGTTTCAACTGTAAAGCAAACGGATTGAGTGTAAATTCTGTCATACAATACATACATTATATTTGCCTATATACTAACAAATACATTAACTTAAATAACAGGTTGTTGACTTTTTAATAAACTCTTATGGTGCGTTCAGACCGTACGCGCTAAAAGCGGCAATTTCCACTAGCCCTGCAGGTAGTCCACTGCTTTCCATTTGAGATGCACAGTGTTTACGCCCTGGAGCGCATCATCAAATAGGTGGAACTTCACCTCTGTGAAGCGGACACCACACTGACATGAAAAAAACTCAGCAAATAGACTGAATGGTTAGTGCTTCATTAGCGCAGGTTTGGAAAAAAAAAAAAAAAAAGATTATATAAGCTGCTGCTGTTTAGGAGATATTTTATTTCTTTAGGTCAACTATCCCACGATTAAGCTCCAAATTGAATCAAAATTATGTAGCCTACTTTTTTAGTACTACTTCATTCGTGCAGGTTAATCTATCGTTTGTGCTAATTTTAATCATGGCCGATGACATCACAATCCCAACAGACGTTAGTGCTGATATAAAGTTATTGCATAACACAAATCCTTCCTGTGCTGGTAATGAATGTAACAGTGAGCATGTTTGACTTATTTTGTGGCTGGAATGATTGTTTAATATTTAATCCCCCGCCTCCCAAACCTTTCGCTTTGGACCTTTCGTTACCCCTAGCAACCCTATGTAATTTCCTGTCAAGGTCTCGCTGTCTGTCTGCATTTCATAATAAAAGCAGAGGTTAAACTTAACATCACAGACTGCTACTAAATTGGTCTCTATGAACAACTTTGAATCACCTTGGGGAGTCAATTATTTTTCAAAGCCCCAAAGGCTCTGAAAAAAAGGGTCCACTTTGGTCCATTCAGATGCAAGTTGGATTGCAGGATGTAAATCTACCGCCTCAGAAAGCACCAATGCTGAGCAGTGTGCAGTGACAGACGGGGCTCTGTGCTGGAGGTAAGTGAGGACGATTTTAAAACCACCTAAAACCTCTTAACAGCATTGCTTATTTCAAACTTTTTTAACATTATTTCTCTTTATTCCATCTTAAACGAAAAAAGCTTCACCAAAAGATAGTCGCTGGCTAGCTGCCGTGTCGCGATTTCATAGAAAAGTTCAGCTTCTTTCAACTTCAGCGATCACCACTCCTCTCTCTACATGCGTTGCTGCTGTTTGACAACACCTAATTTCTATCTAATAGCACTAGGTGAGGGAGGAGCAGTGAACGCTCTCACCACATGGAGTTCACCGCTGACCAATTCGCCGTGTGGTTTGTATAGAAATTCTATGTGAATCAACCACTAGAGCCATTGTTAGGACCTCCTGTGTAAACGCACCATTACACAATATTGAAGCATTAAAATTTGGGTTATCATAAACATTTACAAAAATAATTGAATATGCAGTTTGTCTCCAATTTACTCCAGCCATCCATTATTATCATTATTCATACTGCTTATTCACTGAGGGTCACAGTGGACCCAGTGCCTATCTCAGTTTATAAACCAAAGGAATGAATTAATGAAGATGCAGCAATGAGTAACTGCGCAGAAGTTGTATATATGGGAGATAGAACAAAGAATGGGCTAATCAGCTGATAGGGAGCAGGTGTGGATAGAAGCAACTAGAAGGGAGCTAGGGGAAAGGAGACTGGCACAAGGGGACAACACTGATTAAATATAACTAGAAAACAGCTAGAATGACACAAAATGGAAATGAGCCAATTACCCAGAAAACACAGTGTGACATTAATCAAAATGTAACTGAAAACTCAAAAAGAAACTTAAACAGAACCAAAAGGTCCAGAAAGAGCAACATCATGAAATGACAAAGGGACCAGATGAAGGGTGTAACTAGGTAGAAGTCTGTAGGGGAAAAAAGGTAAACCTGGGTTTCCTGTGGGTTTCTTGTTAAATCAATATAATTACAGCATACTAAATCCAGATAAAAGGCAGAAAAAGACAAACAAAGGACAAAAAAGACAAACATATGTCCTAATGAATCTCAACAATCCAGGTAAAAGAAAGCAACAAAAATAAGGCAATAGGCAATACAAGTAACAAGAAGAACCTTTTTTACATTTGTTATACACTGCCTGGCCAAAAGAAAAGTCGCCACCTGGATTCAACTAAGCAAATACGAACGAGCCTCCTATTGGATAATTACTGCATTGGCGATTATCTGTCAGCTGGCGACAAGTTATTTAACCCCAACTGGTGCAATGACTTGCTTCTCATTTCCTAAACAACCATGTCGAAAGACACATCCCTTGGTTGTGGAAAACATGTTAGTCTGTTTGAGAAGAGTCAAATCATTGGCATGCATCAAGCCGAGAAAACATCTAAAGAGATTGTAGAAACTAATAAAATTGGGTTAATAACTGTCCAACGCATTATTAAAAACTGGAAAGATAGTGGGGACCCATCATCTTCAAGGAAGAAATGTGGCCGGAAAAAAATCCTGAATGTTTGTGATCAGCGATCACTTAAACCTGTGGTTAGATCAAATTGAAGAAAAACAACAGTAGAACTCAGGGCTATGTTTAATACTGAAAGTAAGAGCATTTCCACACACACAATGCAAAGGGAACTCAAGGGCTTCAATTTGCTAGGGAGCATAAAGATTGGACTGTGGAGCAATGGAAGAAGGTCATGTGGTCTGATGAGTCCAGATTTACCCTGTTCCAGAGTGAGAACAGGGTAAATCAGGTTAAGAAGAAAGGAGGGTGAAGTGATGCACCCACCATGCCTAGTGCCTACTGTACAAGCCTGTGGGGGCGGTGTTATGATCTGGGGGTTGCTGCAGGTCTAGGTTCAGCAACAATATGTGCTCAAAGAATGAGGTCAACTGACTAACTGAATATACTAAATGACCAGGTTATTCCATCAATGGACTTTTTCTTCCCTGATGGCACAGGCATATTCCAAGATGACAATGCCAGGATTCATCGGGATAAAATTGTGAAAGACTGGTTCAGGGAGCATGACACATAATTTTCACACATGGATTGGCCACCATAGAGTCCAGACCTCAACCCCATTGAGAATCTTTGGGATGTGCTAGAGAGGGCTTTGCGCAGTGGTCAGGCACTACCATCATCAATGCAAGATCTTGGTGAAAAATTAATGCAACACTGGATGGAAATAAATCTTTTGACATTGCAGAAGCTTATCGAAAAAATGCCACAGCGGATGCGTGCCGTAATCAAAGCTAAAGGCGGTCCAACAAAGTGTTAGAGTGAGTGACCTTTTTTTTTTTGGCCAGGCAGTGTATTTGAAAACATGATACTACAGTTACTGTCATTGGTTTCTGAACCTCATTAAATTCTATAAATCTTCATTAGAATAAAAGAGTCAGAATTAGCACCATTATAAAAAAAGTGGGGTTTACCTCAATTGGTCCAATTTGAAAATCAATGTCAATCTGATGCTCTCTAATTTCTTTGAGGGTAGCCATAGCAATGCGAACATCGTCTAGGTCTTTGACCTTTCGATTCAGTTTCTTTCCTGCTTCATCAACGAAAGCAAAGATCTGCTCCATGTCTGAGCGATATTTCCTTTTACAAAACAGCCCATAGTCCACCATCCAGTTCTTAGTTTCAACTGTGAAGGATATCTTCAGCAATTCTTGAAAAAACAAGATGGACAAGTAGAGCTAAGTTAATGTTAAAGCTTAAGGACAGTTTGTTTTAGATTTGTATAAATAACAACTTTGATCTCACCTGTAAATAAAGCTAAGGCTTTAACAGTGATGTACTCTGGTTCAGAGTTTATTTTGAGTTCAAGATCACGATAAAAAAGGATCTGGCTCTCAAACTCTGATAGCAAAGGGCTCCCCTGGATAAATCTAATAAAAAGAAGAAACTCAAGGGTCAAAATATCAAAATAAATGGAATTTTAATCTTTCATCCAAAATTACCTTTGAATGGTGTCCTCACGATCCTTTCTCCAGATGTAATGGTAACAGCTGAAGCGGTTAAGAGCGTTTTCCACTTCCTAAAAGATAAACCAAACAGATATACTATGTGTTGGGATCTGGAGATTCTCCACCTTCTCCAGCAGAGTGCGCTGTGGATCCTCCTGGGCTGGAGCCCTCCAGCACAGCTGACGTTCATCAGCTCATCAGGAGACCGGCCTTTATAAGCAGCTGCCAGACCTTCCTTCTACGCCGCAGTGTTAGCCAAGTTTGGTTAGCAAACCTGAGCCTTTGAATTACTAATCCTTGTCTTCTTAGAGAAACCTTATTCCAATCTGCCTCTGTCTTCTCGCTCCTAGGAAACCAGTCTCCCGAGAGAAGCTCTGGATGAGCTTAACCTGAAACCTGCCTGCCTGCCCTAGAGAGCCAAACCTGAAGTTCCCACTCTGGAATCCACCTGCTGCTCTTTGGGAAAGAGCTAATCACTCCAACCAAGGTCTTTCACTGGAAGTCAGAAGCTAGACGCTGCTGCTGCTTAAGCACTCTGCTGAACCAACAGTCTCTGGACCCAACCGGTTCCCTCTCTCTGAACTAAGCCTGGACCTCTTCAAGGTATCCACTGAAAAATCTGAAAACTCATTTAACTCATCTGCAAACCAAGCTAACCTACTATCCGTCTCTGCAGACGCCTGAGAATCCTGCCCGGACCAGAACCTGAATCTAGTTCATGTCATTTTGTGAAACCTTTAATAAACTCTGTTAAATCTTTTACCAAGTCTCCAGTGGTGTTCTGCATGTGGTTTTTATCTCTAAACCGATCATGACACTATGGATATTGAACATGGAGTTATTGTGGAATAAACAGACGGCAAAGGTTTCTGTAAGTTCTTCTAATGCAGAGCATTTTAATTACAATAGGAATACAATCATTCAAAGTATACAGTCATCCATCTATATTCTCTACCTGGGGAGAGATATGACCCATATTTAATTGATTTCCAAATACCAAAAATGACCACAAAAAAAACCCATGCCTCCTCAGGATAAAATTTATAAACGCTTCAAGATATGAAGTGTTAACATTTTTCAAAGATCCTGTGTATCTCAACCAAACAAAAAGTAATTCAACTAAACTCAAAAATACTTTGATAATCTAAAAGGGAAATATAATATAAAATAGTATAATATTATATATAAACATATCGATAATTCATATATATTTATAAGTGGTTGGATGTTATCGGCATTAAAGCAGCGTGTTAAATAATACTACTTTATATTACATCTATATAATATCCAAACATAGTATGTTTTTATACAATATAATAAACAATAACCTAAAAACATAAACAATATCCATGTTTTCAAGCCTTTATTTTTGTGAATTATTATCCACTTTCATCTAATAAAAAGAAAATAAATTGTGATGGAATCAGAAAATTCCATCACAATTTAAAAGCCATTGAAAAAATATCCACTTAAAGCTGGTAATTTTAAAAAATGGGCATTTAATGTGTCAATCCAGCCTCATGGCAAAACATATATTTATATTTGATAAATATAATTGCCTTGCTGAAATTTTGGATTGCTATTAGGATAATAAATGATAATAACCATTTACCTTCTTGGTAGATTTGATGGAGGTACTGAGAACAGATTTTAGCTTGACTATCTCGTCATTCGCAGATATAGTCTTGTAGTAATTTCTTTCTTGGATAGGAATGGCTTGACTCACAAACAGTGACATTTCTGAGCTGGTACCATCTGAAAAATATAGAATTGAAGACAATGTTTTCAAGAAACTTTCATAGATGTATGTCGCATATGTAAGCATTTTAGAATACACATTATATAACAATTCCACTGAGTCTGGTGTATTTGACATGAAGATATCCGTTTTAACAACCCATCCTATCTAAATAGATCTGAGTTGATAAAAAAAAAGACAGAAAGAGAACAAATTAGTAGAATAGTCATTTGGTGGTCGTTCAGGCGTTTAGCAGCATTATCCTTCATACCTGTCATACTTCTGTGTGTTGGTGTTGTTGCTCCATTGTCTGATTCATTCTCTGAGCCGTCTTGTTTAAGGGCCGCCGTTCGGTTCTCTTTTATTTCTCTCTATAAAGTGCATATAAAAGGCAAGCTTTCAGAACTTGTTTGGTTGAATATGATGAAATCAGAAAACTTACATGTCCAAACAATCACATTAATGTAACTTTAGAGTAAGCATACCTTAGTAATCCTTTCTTTGCTCCATTCACCTACTCCTTTGCTTACACTGACCACACATGCAACAACCTTGTCTAAAGCCCTCTGGACCTCCTCCAGAGTTGGCATCATGACAATGTTAGGTATAGAAAGGTTCAGATCGGCTTTAAAGATAGCCTGCTGATATCTGTGCTTCCCATGGCTGGGTCCCTCACTCTCACCTACCAGAGAGAGAATAGAAAAGCATCACATTAACGACAAAACCCTATATGCATTCAGAAGAAAATAGATATAGGAACCTAACTGAAATAAGTTGTGTTTTCTATTCAACAGATAATAAGTGTACAGTAAACTTGCTGAGTCTTGTCATTCTGAGCTTTCCGTTTCCATCTGTCATGGCACATGTTGGATTTGGAAAACTTAGCCAACTTTTGGAAATCACCAAAAATAAGGTAAATGTCTACATTCTATTAGGCATACACACCAGCAGTTTTAGTGATAATAACAGCAAAAACTGGTATTTCTAAACCTTGTATTTTTGTCCTTTTCCTCCTTAATTAAGAGATGGTTCTTTTGAGTAAACCCACCCAAGAAATGCATAAGTGAAGGTGTATTTATGCGCTTGTGTAGCATCTCCAGAGTTTTGCGTATAGCATTGAGCAAAGCGTCAACATTGCGTTGGTTGAAGTAGGAAAGCAGTTCCTGGGCATCCTCTTCCATTTCTTCCATTGAATCTTTTTTCTTTCTCTCTCTCACTAAAGGAGAGGAAGGACCTGATACAGCAGGGGGTACAAATGTGTTCCTGGAGCTTAGATGTCTTTCAGAGCTGTATCCCTCATCACCTGAAGAAACATATTTGCAATCACAATTTGAGAAATTAGATAGAAGAGTAGATAGATTAGAACAGTACTCTGATCCACTTATCTTTAAGAGAGTCAGCTTGGGTATTTTATATCAGTTTGCGTATGATCTGGAATGAAAGTATACCTTCAAGTAGAAAGGGTTGTTTGGTCTTGCTCTCACTACAGCTGTCTTCTGCATCTTTCCCCTTGTCTTGCTGACCATGGTCAAACTCGGTCAGCATGTTGATCAGTTCATTTGTAGCCTCCTCCACCAGTGTGCTCTTTAGGTGTAGATTCTGAGCTTGTTTTATGCACAAGTCCTTGGCACAAAGTAAATTAATTGAAATAAAATGAGTGTCTGACAGTAGTTAGGGGGTGCCAAAAACACTTTCTTTAGAAATCTGTGTGTATCCTTTCAAGTTTAACACAGGCCAGGTACAAAACTAATAAGGTGGGTTCAGTTTGGCTAAACTAACATAACACAACAATGCCATTATCTTATATGAAGGAAATGTTATTCATTTATATTTACCCTGGTGGCTTTAAAAAATTCCTCACAGCTGACCGGTTGTTCCTCTGGCAGAACACACAGTGTGGTTAAACTCATCTCCTGCAGTACAGCATCTATTCTAAACTCCACCAAATCGTTCACTCTGTCTATTAATAGCTCCAAATCTCCTGGAGACAAAGAACAACAAAAGTGTGAATAGAACAAAAAGGGACCAAGAGAAAAAAGACAGAGCTTAATGAATAATTTAAAAAGTTAAACACAGACAGAAGGAGAATATGTGAGATATATGTGAATTTTGCTTGTGTGTACACAATGAATGAACTAATCAAAATCTGACCATATGCTGCCAGCAGGAAATATTATGTCAGCAAATGAGGTAGGTTATTATTATTTTTTTGTTTTTTGCTTACCCAATGCTTTATCAATGCCGCTTAGATACTTGTCTATACTCAAAAATATCCAGGTCAGGGAAGTCAAACCAGGCTGGATAGCCTTGTTTACCTATGCAGTACAAGGCAAATGGTATTAATGAAAGAAAACTGTAAAAGTATTTTTCTCATGTATAAGTCACCATAATACACTTTTTCCAGTAAACTATTGTATGTTTATAGTATATAACATTTTTAAATGATCCAAATATATTTTTTTTCTATCCAAAAATTCATTAATAAAAAAAAACAAATGCAGTATTTTGGCTAATACATAGAACCAGGTGTTGAAATGTGTAACAAAAAGCTGATTTTAGTCATTATTTAAACCCAATATTTTATGAGGCTAAAGACTGAGAGAAGTGAGACGTAATCTGTGTTGTGTGTAAAAGCCTAACTGGGGACAGGCATTGAGAATTAGCCTTAGCTAAAAAGTTGTAGTGTGTGACATGATTCATGAAACATACTTGTCCCTATCAAATAAACAAATAAAAGAAAAAAATAAATAAATACATCTATAAACACAGACAAAACAGTCTAAGGTGTAAGCTTTCTGCTTTGTTTATAATTATAAAAGCAGCTTCCATGTATTATATTATAATAATGAAGAAATGGCCAGCAATTAGCTTTTTGTCTGTTGTTCTGAAAGGTTTTGTTTTATTTTTTGTGAAACTAAAGTCAATCCATCCATCCATCCATCCATCCATCCATCCATCCATCCATCCATCCATCCATCCATCCATCCATCCATCCATCCATCCATCCATCCATCCATCCATCCATCCATCCATCCATCCATCCATCCCTTAATTAAGTTTTCGGTTGTGATTCCCAGAGCTCTTTTAAGAGCTCATGTACATCAGAGGAACAATCTCGCCAGATTTTAATCCCTCACTTTTGTTTGCACAGTGAAGCCCTGCAAGGGAGAAAAAAAAAACAGGTCCCTTGTACGTCTTTGCAGGCGGGAATGCCGCGTACCACCGCAAGCAATATTTCTCATCTATGTGCACTGCAACAAACTGTCCAAATTTCAGCTGCCGGTGTGGAAAGACCGAAGCTTTCATTTATCTTATGGCCAGTGCTTTATAGTGAAGCAGCTCTGAATTTAGAACCATCGCCACCAGTTCCCCTAAAGGCTGTGCTCTTTCCCTTCAGCTCTTTCCTTGTTAGCCAACAGCTGTCTGTCAAGATGCTGCAGTCTGCAGATGACACCACCCTCGATGGGCTCATCTTTGACAGAGATGAGGCCGCCTACAGGAAAGAGAATGATGCAGCCAGACCATTCTGGAGCCCTACTCTCTGAGCACAGTGCATATGGTTGTAGACAAGAAAAAGCACTGCCCCACCTTTCCCTGTCACCCTTTGTAACTCTCCAGTTGCTACCATGGACGTCTTCCGATTCCTGGGCACCATCATCACTCAGAACCTCAAATAGAAGCTAATCATCACCTCTCTCACTGAGAAGGCTCAGTAGATAATTTACTTCATGCGGCAGCTAAAGGAGTTTAGCCTTTAAAAGTCAGTGATTGTGTGCTTCTACTCTCTGAGTCCATCCTCCCCTTTTATATCACAGCCTGGTAAGCTGTTTGCACCACCAGCAATAAGTGCAGGCTAAGGCATATCATTCACTTTTGGAGAGGTTGGCTGGCAGCAATATCTCTCCTCTTCATGAACTGCATGCTTCCAGGACTCAGAGGCAAACAGGACAGACCGCTCTCACACTGGATTCAAGCTGTTCCAGACACTTAAGCAATCCAGTAGGACCATAACTTTTCGCCACATAAACAGCTTCTTCCCATTTGCTACTAGCCTCATTAGTAAGGCCTACTTTAGGTTGCCCTCTGAATTTTTCCGTCGCAAATGATACAAAGATATATGCATGTGTAAATACAATTTAGTTTGATTTTATGTTGTTGTTATCGTATATTTTTAATGTTTGCCACATTTCGCCTAATATTGAATTATTCTCTTCTATTCTGTAAATATTCACAAAATCTTCCAATACACAATTTCATTTATGTAATCTATTTTATGTATGTCAACTGTATATTTGTCTGTACACTGTATATGTAACAGCAGGTGCAAAACTAAGCAAAAGCAAATTCATCCAACATTCAAATAAACCTTGGTAATAAAACTTAATGTACAGTAAGTAAAGTGGGATATTTGATGTCATTAAAAATCAGCAGATAGAATTTACTACACAGTATGCATGTAACCATACCTTTTCAAAAACTTGCATAATATAAGAAATGTCAATAATGAACACAGAATTAATTAGTTAATCAATGAATGAAGAATTAAATGCTGTTTATTAAATCTTGCCACTCATTATGCTAACCATATCACCCTATTTTAAACCACTTAATTTAAACTGACTTTCAATAAATTATCTTACCTTAGCAACATGTGGCCTGAGCAGTTTCTCAAATACAGTTTGAATCTTGGCTCTTACTCTGGTGTTTTCACTCAGCCTAAACTGTAAAAACAAAACAAAAAATCCTTTTTTATACTGTTAGTACAGTAAAACAAATATTAAAAGGACATATCCAGTGGACATCTATCAATGCATATAAAAAAATCAAGATTAAATTATATCAAGTTACAAATCCCCCCTCTTACTACCACTTTTGTGACACTCACCTGTAATTTATCACAGTTCATCTTCAGTGTGTTCCACGTGTTCTGCAAGAAAGCAGCAAAAGGAGGGATCTCCAGATTCATACGCTTCATGAAGTCAGTCTCTCTGATCTGTTCATGTATCTCTGGTCTGAAGTTCACAGCCAGCTTTCCAGAAGACCAAAGTAAGAGGGGGGTCTCTAGGCACACCTTGGTATTCTCCATCTAAATGGGATGAAGATATATACAATATGACTGTGCCTAGACATGCACTAACATGCAGACACCTCCCCATGTATACACACAAAGGTATAAACACACACGCATGTACCAAGTCAGACAAGCTAAATATTGTATTATAGGAATTACTATTTGCGTTATTAATGTATCACTCTGCTCACATCTTTTTGCAATTATTTAGATCTTTTGCTGAGTTTTCTGTACCTTCGTCATCCAGCTTTGATGATGCAGCATTTCATACTCCAACAGGATCCTGGCTACTCTGTTAAATTTCCTGATAATCACTTTAGCCTCGACTGTGGAAAGAATGTCTTCATGCTAACAAGGAAAAGAAGCATGAATTATAAGAAAAATTCTTCTTAAAAGTGTAAAGGTGAGTTTTTATGAGATATAAATCAAGAAAAATGAAATGAAAACCTTTTTGAAGATATCCATGGGATCCTGAATTTTGCTGTACAGATGCCGAGCCCACATGATCCGACCTGCCACTGGAGAACTTTCCTGGGCAATGGGAGGGTCCAGTTTTTGCTTAGCATAGGTATTGGAAACCGTTTCAAGATCCCGACCGTAATTCTGCAAGATCTGCTGATACTTTTCATCAATCCCAAGATTAGGGATGCCAAGTCTGTTTTAGTTGGTGAAAAATATACAAGCAGTTGCATTGAATCTAGTTTCAACTGTGGCAGAACAAGAGATTAACAATGGTAAATGGAAGAAACTACCTTTCGAATTTTTCCAGCTCATTTAAAGCTCTTTTTGTGTTCTTAATCTCTGCTAATGTATCCCCCATGAACTTCTTCAGTTGATTCTGTATGTACAAACACATGCAGCAAAAACTTACAGGTTATAAAAATGTTCCCAAATTTGATCGGACTTCAAATAAAATCAACATACAGAGCTTTATTCTGGTCTTTTAAAATACCCCACTTCCCCAATTTACTTACATGAAGAAAGGATGTGCTTTCACAGAATGTCTCATAATCAACATCAAAGTCAGTCATCCTGTAGTCGAGGAAACTGTAGTTCTTTTCCTTTACAGTCTTAACTGTAGCCTGTCAGACAAAAACATATAACCAAGAACAAGTCTTAAAAAACAAATTTTCAGATAAACAATTTTCTTTGGTATTTAAATGAGTTCTGTTGCTTTAAGTTAAAGCTTAAACAGAATCTTTTTTAATACTAAAATGACTTAATGTTTTAATGTCTAACCATCTCAAAATGTGTTTTTAAGGAGACAGTGTAAAGAAGATTCCTCTCGAAAATGCCACAGCTTAAAATTTAGCCTGAATAAAAAATAAATCTTGCAAAACTATTTGCAAATCTTAAACCTTTTCTCATTTTGCAAAATGTTAGAATCACAATCTTCAATGCATTTCATGCATTAGAGGGTGTTATCTGGTTTGTTTCAAAAAACTGAAGTGAAACATGCATGGTTTTTTCCAGATAAATAGCATCTGTGTGATATTATGAATGACGGATATAAGCTAAGACAACAAATCATATTGTACTGGATTGTGTAATTTATGTCAGCCTAGAGTTCTTGGAAAGCATTAGAGGCAACAAGCATGAAAGCTTTGCAAACAGTGTAGGAAGAAAACATCAACAAAAAGAAGCAATTCGACTCTCTCGACTTAAAGTAAATATCAGTGGAGCACAGTTAAAAGTTAAAAAATAGAAAAGGAGGAAAAATAATAATGATCAGAATACTTTGTGCCGTCAGTATTTTCATTAGTTATATATCCTGACACAGTTTATAGATATTTTATTGACCACTGCATGCAGAAAAGTATAATTAGATCATGCAAGTTAAGGGCTAAAGAACACGATGAGACATTACCTCCCATTTTGCCTGTATATCTGCAGTCTGTACATCAAAGGAAGTAAAGACAAACATGATGGCATACTTCACTGTATGCTCAAGGAAAAACAAGATAAATGACAGTTGTTTGGACTGTTGAATCATAATAGGTCAATTCTTTCATCCCAGCTACATTGCCACTCATAGTTAAATGAAGCTGCATTTACAGTGAAAGCAAACAATATTAAACAATCATAATGTTAAAGGAACCTAGTAAAACCTTAAATTTTAATAAGCATATAACATTTTCATAGCAAGGGAGTATGACAATCAGTATATAATCATTTTCAAGTAATAATACAAAATTATAATATGAAAATTCACAATTTATATAAAATATAAAGTACAAGTATCTTGCTCTCTGATTTTAGGCATAAGGCATGACTATATTTGAAATCTAATATCACAGAACTATTGTACAAGCTCTGCTAGGAAGTAACATTAAGATTTTATGTAATCCAATCTGTATGACAAAAGAACTTCAAACACTTCTACACTGCAAAAACGAGCAAGAAATAAGTACAAATTTCTTAAATTAAGTGTATTCAACCTTAATTTGAGTAGGTAAGTTAGATAGTTTGCCAATGGAATGAGTATTCTTACTCTTAAAATAAGATAATTAGATAATATGTTCTTGAAATAAGAGAATTCAACTGTGTTTTCTTATTTTAAGTGTAAATTGTCTTGTTCCATTGGCAAAATGTATCTTTTACCTCCTTAATTCAAGAAAAAATGCACTTATTTTAAGGAAAAATGACTTATCTAGATTTAGATTTTTTGCAGTGTAGTTTAACAACTCTGTACACTTACTTGAAATCTTGTGGATATGGTAATAAGCCCTTGACTCTTAAAGTCCTGCAGTACAGAGTAGGTGGAGATGGTCTTAAACATCTCCAGGATCTTGTTTAAGCGCTGCTGGAATAAATCAAACTTCCCAAAGATGTACACCTCACAGATGTCAAACTTTCTCATAGAGGGAGTTTGTTCCTGCTCCTCCTTGGTCTTATGAAAACACAGCTGATATTCCTGAGCGACACAGTTTCACACAAAACAAAGTTCATTACCCAACAAAAGCGTACTGTGATATATATAAGTGTTAATATGAAAACAGAACTGAATAATATGATACCAAAGACCACAAATAAGAAACAGTAGTATCCCATACCTGATTTAGTCGAATTGTAGCTTTGATTTTATCAATAACCTCCTGCTGAGGTTGGTCCCAGATTGAATTTGAACCATTATTTGTGATGTAGGCTTTGCAAGAAGTGATCATCTGATTGGTGACCTGGAAGTAAATGTTGTTTTGTAAATCATTGTCATCCTGTTTGATACTTTTACTATATCTATAGGTATTGAAACGTTCATACACTCTGCCTTATTCATCTATTGCTATATGCTTTATTTCAATGTCCTGTGTCAGAGACATTACACACTGTCTAGTCATGCAGTCTCTACAGGAAATTCACATTGAAACAATCTGAGGTTAATGTTAACCTTTTCACAGCAGAACTTGTTCCTGTGTTTGATGCAACCGTTCTGAAAAAAATGTTTCTACTCTGTTGATTTAAAGTAAAATGCTGCAGCATTGAATATCCCAGAATGGAATTTGGCCATCTGTTTCATGATTAGTATACGTGTGCAGTTTCTATGTCATGTGAGCTGGTGTGAGTCATCTCAATAGTTAATCACTACAACAGCTAAGCAATGTGGTCACATGAGCTTCAAAGAATATAGGTTTGATGTAACAAGCAAACAAACAGTACCTTGACAAGCAGAGTCATTATGTTTTCAGATGTGTTGTAATGGGGAGAAATATTGTACACTGACTTGATGGCATTCATCAAACCAGGGATTGCCTCCACCATTGATACCTGGAAGGTGATGTAAGTACATTATGACCAATGATAAGCCATTTGGTTTACTTGTTCTATATGCAACATACATGGTTCTGTTTGTCTTCTTTCTATACTTACAGGATCACTGTTGTAGAGTGGGTCATAAAACTTCTCTAAGCAATAGAGATAATTAATGTTGTCTTTAGCCTTATTAACAGCATCAGTAAGCCTTCTGTCCAGTTCCTGCCATGGCTACAACAAAAACATTAGTGATTTTGTTACATTGATGCATAGTATTCAACATAATTGTTTACAAGTTTTTCTTTTATATGTGGTAAATCTTCCATTAATGAATGAGCATAATTTCTGACCTTGACGAGTTTAGATTTTGCCAGCAGAAGGACACCTAGTACTGAGCTGAATTGTGGAGTTTTCAGCTGGTCCAAAAGATAGTTAATGCTAGACATCCTTTTCTTCCAGTAGTTCAGTTCGTCCCTGGGCCCGAGGTCATCAGTCACTTTTCTCAGCAGTTTAGTTTCGGCAAGAACCTGAAGAACACATTTGATGTACTTTGTCTTTGCTCACATCATCTCTACAGTGTTTTATATTTGTATGATTACATCAGCCACTGGCTGATATTCTATGAGATACCTTTTCTATATGTCAATTTTTTATATATATATATATATAAGATTAATCAAAACAAAATAATCAGTTTTTTGGCTGTTATTTGGTTCCTTAACATAAACCAACCAGTGTTTTTCTCTAAGTCTTTAAATTCTAATTTGATTAGAAATCTCTGGACATTTTATTTAATCCATGCATGATCAAAGATTTCCTCCACCTTGTTCACAGTTTTAGAGGGAGGAAGAGTCACTATTAGTTAAGGAGCCAGTATTTAAAAAAAAATACATTAACCAACCTGGCTAGCTCTAATTATAAACAAGAAGAAGAACCGATAATTCATTTATTTGTTCTTCTAGTTTTATCTTTACACACGTATCAATTTAAATCCTTATTATACCATTGATGTATTCTGCTTTGTCAGACAATTTAAGCAGAAAAAGATGCTCATAAATTGTGTCCATAAGCAGTTTAGTAGAACAGAAAAGCTATTAAGACGGTAGTTGATTTTAACATGAAATATAATTGGTGAGACTGTGGAGACAATTGTCTCACCTGTTCTATTTGTTTGATCCAAACTTTCATGCAGGCTTCTATCTTTTTAGTAGTGTCTTTGTTGTTGGCTGCTGCTTTGTAATCCGCAGGTGATTTCAACAACTCCAGGTCAAGCGCGTCACATTGCTTCAAAGTAACCTGAAGGCAAAACAAAGTAGGATTATTTTCACTTTTTCTTACAGATTTTTGTTTGTGGTGAACAGTTGGGCTTCATGTCCATTTTTTTTTTGTTGTGTAAAGACATTTTTTTTTATTTCATCTGCAGAAACATGACCGCTCCAACTTCTTAAAGCAGTTATTAGGTTTTCATATAGCTTTTATCCATATTTAGTCCTTATGCTTTACTTTGAATATTACATTATCTTTGTTTTTTCCAAGTTGTTCATAGGTTAACAAGCAGATGATTGTTAACCAGGTTAATTGTTGATTAGTGGTGTTTGTCACCTACCAGTTCTTGTAGGCTCTCCTGTGCACCCGTCAAAACAGAGACAAATCTTTCAAGTGAAGATATAAACTCCTGTTTTACACCCTGAGCCTGGGGACTGGCCAATTCACCCCAACCATGGTTTGTTTCCCTTAGTGCGGGGATGAAGACGTCTGAGAACAACTGCTCCACACTTTTTAAAAGCCCACCTTCTGTGGCGTCCAACATATTGAAGCTCACCTCCTGCAAATTTGGAAAGGTGTCCTTTTATTATGGAACCAAAAACATCATAGTATACTTCTATTAAATAACATACTTTGATTTTGTCAAAATCTACCTGAGACTGAGAGGAAAACACAAAGTCTATCCCAGCAACATGTGTGCTGCTGTTTTAAAATGAAAACAATAAAAAATTATGTAGATAAATAGGGTTAGGAAAACAAAGATGAAAAAATGAAGGTGTTCATGGTCCAAGAACATTACAAAGAAATGTAGAGAGAATCTCCCTCTCTTCTTCACCACTTTATTGTGAAGTCCCTCAAGATTCTGTCACGGCTCCTTTATGATTGCACTCTGTATTCTCTGCGTCAAGTCTTCTGGAAATATGAAGACTCCCATCCAAATTTATATCCCAATAAGGAAGACTGGTAATAGACCCCTGGCATCGTTACTGCAATGTGTTAATGCCTCCAATGACATCAAGACTTGGTTGGCTCAAAATGTCTTGAATCTTAATTAGCCAAATGGAAATTCTGGTGTTTGGACCTAAAGACCCCCTGAATAATTTTGGACCACTTATAAAATAAGTTCATCCTTCAGCAAACAGCTATGGCACTGTCATAAATATGGAGTTTAAGCAACACAAGTAAATGTCAGTTTGTAACATCTTTGTCTCTTATAGAATGTGAAGCTATTTTTAATCATTGAAAAAAAATTTTTTTTTATTTCTCATATTTATTTCAGCCTGCCTGGTCTACAGCAATGTTCATTTAGAGGCATAAATAAAAAGGCCTTGAACTGCAGGTAGTCCAGAACTGTATGGAATGGCTTTTAAGTGCATAATATCTAATTATCTTATTTTAATGGTATAAATACTTCTGTTCCCAGAATATACAGCAGACCTCCATATTTGTTCCGCTGCACGTGCTCTAAGGTCTGAGAATTAGGGGGCTTTCACGGGAGAGGACTTTCTCTGTGGTTGGCCCAAGACTCTGGAATGGTCTGATTTCAAGACCCACTTTCATTCACTGGCTTTTAAGACTCAACGAGGTGTATTGTACTGTATATAATTCCATTTAATTATTTTATCTTTTATTTGTGCAGCACTTTTGGACATTTCATGTTATTTAAAGCTCACTGTGCACATTTAAAAGGTAAATATACACGCCCTTTGATTGCCTCAAGTGTAAAATGAGCTTTCCTCTATGTACCGCAGTTGCTTCTACGATCTCCATTAGACAATTTGTAAGAGAGTGATTCAGGTTGAATTCTCTAGGCATGCATGTGAGTGTGATGCACAGCATTTTCCCTTTAACCTAGTTGCCTTCCTGAGTCTCAGTCACAGCAAGAGAACAGGGGTGATGATTTGCAAGGATAAAAACTGTTTTTATAGTGTGACAAAAACTGCCAAAATGGTGAGAAGATTTAACTTAGCATGTAACTTAGACAGGTTAATGTCTGTTGTTTGAAAATCCCAAAAATTCTACTTTTTTGTATTACAGTCACCTTTTTACCAAAGCCATTTTTTCTTACATGTAAAACACTACTTGGCAATAAAGCTTTTCTGATTCAAAATTTTAGCTTAAAGAGTAGAAGCTGAATCCATTGAAAAAAAAGGTTCTCATTAAGTAGCTAAATATGTTTTAACTGTTTCATTGGGGAAAGAGCCCATATTATCTTTCCATTTTTGGAAGAGATTGTGTCTGCAGGTGGTTCAGGGACAACAGGAGGGTCAACACTCTGATTCTCATCAGATTAGAATCCCTCAAAATCAGGGTCCTCCTGAACACAGTCCTCTTTCCCAGAATAAAATCTCCTCTGAGTCCCTTTCACTGTCAAATAGCTGTTCCAAAACTTCTTTGACAGTAAATTTTTCCAAGCACTTTCAAAGAGAGCGTGAAGATGTCAGTACAATCAGAGCACAGTGAGGAATTATTCAGATAGAGAACTACTATGCAAGCTTTTATATTTACTCCTCTCTGATTTTGTATGAACTACCAAAGTCCGTGCAGGAATTGCCCGCCCTCCAGAGAGCAGGAATATTCAGTTCTACTTTGGTAGGTGTGAGTTCAGAAGGTCACACAATAACACATACACACCTTCATGCCCATGGTGCAGATGTACAGTATCAAGGTTCTCTTGGGAACAGAACAAAATTTATCAACTAAAGTGGATCTCCTGGACATGCAGCTTTGGACATGTTAGGTCACACCACAGGCTAAAACAGCTTGGGGTCAAACTGACCCCTGAGGATAAAATTGTGTGCAGTGTGTGTACATAAAAGCACATAAAAAAATGTCTGTATGACAATTTTATGTTATCAGTTGTCCCCATCAAATTAGGAAAAGTCAAGAAATATGAAGCAAAAAAAAAAAAAGGTTAACTGGTATATTTTGAATGACAAACATTGAATGGGGTCAAATGGACCCCAAGGAGGATATGAGGGTTAACTAAAGGCAAAAATTCTGTCCAATTTGTGTATAGATGAAACAAATCCACATTGCTGTATCTTTCTTTGTTTGGCTATGACCAGTAGCACACATGACCTGTTTCAAACAGAAGTGATTAGCTTTGCTGCAGGCAGCATGTGGGCAGTTACAATCCATGACCCAAACAAGCTGTGATATCACAAGGCTATTGATGAACACTCCTGTAGCTCAGCTTATCTTTAGATATAGCAAGGATTCGTGGGAACTGTTTATCCCTCAAGATTAATTTCCGGTTAGACTTATTTTTAGCTGGTTTTATTTTTATTTTTTTAAAGCAAAGATTAACATCCTTTTATAAAATATTTTGCACGATATTTTCAACGGCCATTTGGAAATACACCCTGAATTAAAAAGATTAAGGTTTTTGTTTAATTTTGTTTTTTATAAAATCACTTGTTTCTAGAACTGGACATTAATACGTAGCATTAACATACCAGATGGCTTCATTTCAGGTCTAACTTACTAAGGAAAAATATTTTTAACTTTAGCTGTTTTCTGTTTTTGTTCAATTATTACATGTCACTGTCATAGTTGAGGCTAAATTTGTATTTTAGTTTTAAAACATAATTTGCTGCAATAAAATAAAGGTCTATGCTTTCAGAAAAACACGGACTCACACTGTGTATGTTCGCAGAGGTTATTGCTCTCAAAGTTTTTGCTCTGGTGAAGAAGATGCAAATGCCGGTCAATGCCACATCCTTTCCATCAGTTACAAACACTTTCTTTGTGTGATTGTGCCGGTGGGAATCAAGCTGGGTGGGTAGTGCGGCTGCAGCTGCAGAAATAAGGAGTTAGTCATCATCAGCCTTCATATTTCTGCTGGACTGTTTTCAATGTTCTCACCAGTGTCAACAATAATTGCATAAAAGACAGTTTGTCTACTTTGATCCATTGAGTATTCTTTTTTTTTCTGTTACCTCCTTTTGTAGATTCAGTTTCCTGATAAAACAGCATGAGGTGTGGGAGACCGTTTTCCAAAAAAAATTGCTCCATACGATCAAGCTGTTTCAAATGCAAAAAAAAAATAAAATAAAGTAGGAAACAAAACTATAATCTTCTTAGTGAGACTTTACTTTGAGCAAGATGTTACAACACATTCAAATAAAATAATAATATGTAGAATAATAGCTGTAAGCAAATAAACTAACAAATTTGTAATTAAAAAATTATCTAACATTGAATGTTATGTTCTATTAAAATGTAATGTTAACTTTGCCAAACAGCATTGCTTAATATTTTAAATTTAATATTAATCAAGTTACCCGACAAAAATGATGGCCGACATTTTCTTTGATAACTGACTTCTTGGTTTATAATAAAAGCAAATGTAGTAGAAAAAACCCTTAGAACATGCATAATACAAACATTTGACATCAGTGAAAAATTAAAGGCTATTGTTGTTTTTTGCAAAGCTAAGCAAAACTTTTCAGTTATAGTTTAATGGAATTACCTGATTTCCTTCCAGAATGGCATCTTGGACTTCTGATTCCTCCAGACCCAGGCATAAGGCCACGATGCCGAGGATGTAGTCATGTCTTCCATCCAGCTGGTCACGTTTTGCCTCACGCTCCTCTCTTAACTTTTCCTGCACAAAATTTACAGAGAAACTTAATTATTCAGATGATCTGGTTGGATCTCTGATGTAAAAAACATAAACCTATTTAATGTCGAGAAGGTGTTGACTTAATTTAATCATGTAAGCCTAAGTAAAAACATGGAATAAGCACAAATAAATACCTTTAATTTCACATTCTTATGACATGTTAATAAAGCATATATTCACAAATGAAGAAGACTAAATGACATGTAAATTCACTTCATCTTCCAGTACTTTAAATAAAATAGGTCTTTGTATTCCTGTATATTGGGAATCAGGGTTTTTAGATGATCAATTTTGTTTTAAATGTATTGCCAAATGTTAAGGTTAGAAACCAGGGAATAAAACTGTACAATAAGATTCCTAAAAATCTGGTTTTGCACGGGGCTTTTGAATTTCTTTTTTTTGCTTCTTTTTGTTGCTTACATTTTAACAGCCGTGGATAGTGGGGCAAACACATCCTTAAAATAGTTTTGGATCAGTCACAATTGTTGGAGGTGCTGGTCTTCAACTCAAATTTGAATTCAAAATATGATGTCTGTGTGAAGAATTAACAAAAACAAAAAACTGAGAGCTCTTCTGAAATTTTGCACAGATTATATATGTGAAAACTAATAAATTTTTCAGTAAATGTTCTATTTGTTATGGATTGAAGAAACGTATTGTGTCGGTAAGAGCAGATGAAAATCATGGAGCTTTAATATCATGTAAGTTTATTCTAGCATAACTGACAATAAGCAAACAACAGTCTGGGTAAGGAATCAGGCTTGATTCCTAATCAATCAAAATTAATAAAGAATTAATACCAATCAATTTAGCTCAATTTATTCAAGATATAATGAGATGAAGGGCCATTAAAGACAGAGCAAGGTTTTGGAAGGTCTGATTTATAGAAATAAAGGTCATTTTTTTTCACTTAAACTAAGAAAAATAACTGAATAAATAAATATAAAACTGCAAAATTAGTTGAGAAAAGTTTTCAACAGAAAAGTAAAAAAAAAAATTTGAGTGGAAATAAGTTTAATAGCTGTCAATTCTGTTGAAAGTGGCCAATAGGAATGCAGGCCTGCCCATGACACATTCTTCACATTGCAAGAAAAATCCCAAATCGAGAGCAAAGACTCAGGTTTTGAGAAAGAAACGAAAAACACTTTGAAAGAGAAATCTATTTTTCAGTGTAAAAATATTTCTTTTAAAGGGCATTCTTTTCCCTTGGAAATCATTTTCTAAATATCAATTATACTTTTTCTTTAAGTTCAAATAACATAAAAATTTGTTATCTCCAATATATTTATTTCACTAAAATTCAAGAATAACTCAATATTTTGTATAACTTTTTTCTTGATAGCTAACCTTCGTAGACAAAATAAACACACTGCCTTGTGTGTGCTACTATATATATATATATATATATATATATATATATATATATATATATATATATATATATATATATATATATATATATATATATATATATATATATATAGGAAAAAACATTTTACTGTCTTTATCAATCTTAATCCTGTTCCTTTTAGATTTCAAAGAAAAAGAGCATTGAATTTAGTTAGATCATCATCAGATATTGATCACCTGATCTTTCATTTCCTGACCCTTTTTAAATTCTTCAATACTTTTATTTCATGTCCATTTTGTCTTGTAATCTTGATTACTGTTAGTTTAAAATTTATCTTTGAAAGTGTCTTTCTTTAACAAAACATGTAATATAAGCATAAATATTGTGATTTGTAAAAAAAAATGCATATTGATCAAATATTCTTCTCCTTCCTCCTGTTGGGTTATTGGTGTCCCTGAAAAGGAGATTTTGCCACAACCAATTCACTACCAATGACTACTACAGAAATAGATGAGAGCAGAGGGTAGAATATCATCAGCTGACAACCAAGTCGTTCGCATTTGTTCTCTCACCCGAATGACCTTGGAAACAATTTGTCTCCAGAGCTTCTTTCTAAACATCTTCGACATGACAGCTCCTTGCCTCAGCGCCTCACCTCTCCTACGTCTTCTCTATAAGCACCTATCACTTTCTCATCTGCATTTGCACTCTCACCTCAAGGGCTAAGGGCTATCAATTGTTAGTGCTGACCATCCGACTAGCTGAGCTCAAGCTATAAATGCTGTACGTTAATAGCCACTCAAATCCGAAGTTTGAGTTTAGTGCCAGATGAGGCCATGACATATGAAACACAAAACATACACCTGCATAAATGATGTTAAAAATGTAATAAATAAATGTTCTTATTCTTGTTTCCTGTCTTTTTTCAGTTCAGGTTTAATCTAGGTAATCGTAAAAAACTTTTTTTTTTCTTTTTTACTAGAAATACCAGTAAGGCTTTTAAAAAACATGCTTTTTATGTTTGGCTACTTTTTGGACGGATTAATCGAGCCTAATTAATTTGCAAGCTTCTTGGGGATTTTGAACATGAATAATTGAAATAAGGTGATTATATCAGGAAACATCAAATGATCAATAAAAAAAAAAAAAAGTTGGACTGAAAACTAAACTACTAATTCTAAGACAGCACAGTCTTAGCATTTCAGGACTTACACAGAGTTTATTCTAAATTACTGAAGAACAAAACTTAAAGCTGCTTCTCACTGTTCAGTTCTGGCTCTGGTTATGCAGAGTAAATTTGAGCCTGTACCTGAGAAATCTGGGCCCTTGATACACTAACAAAAAGTTTGTAATGTATATTGGTGCCGAGCCATCCAATAATTTATGGACTAATAACAGTATTTTAGGTTCATTCTATGAGATATGGGAGTGTAAGCACTTTAGAACTGAGGTGATGTGCTCTACTTTCTTAGTTTTAGAGATTAATTAAATGAACTAGCATGAATTTCTTTTTAAGTCCTGCTGTCCTGAAGATGTTCTCTAGGTCATAGGAGGCAGACTTTGTTGCTGTCTTTATGTGCCTTTGAAGGTTCAGGCTTAAGTCTATCAGTACAGCAAGTCTTCAATCCTGATTGGTGGTTTATATATATATATATATATATATATATATATATATACATTATATATATATATATATATATATATATATATATATATATATATATATATATATATATACATTATATATATATATATATATATATATATATATACATATACAGAAAATACAGGAGATCGGAAGGTAGAATATCATCAGCTTGTTCGTGTTTTCAAATAGAACATTAACGATCTTTAACAAGCACTATCCTAACATGACCTGCGGCTTAGTAGGGCACCAACCTGACTTTTAAATCAAGCTGTGCTCTGATTGGATTCTTATAAGAATAACCCCAGATGCAACAAAACCTTGCCAATAGTAGTTTACATACAATTTCTACAATCTCACTGAAATGGGCTCTAGTTTGAATGAGAAACTGAATCATAATAATCACCAGGTCCTAATGGTGCAAACCCCAGAGTCATGAAGGCCTGTGCATGGGATAAAACTATCCTTTTAAAATGGAACCATCAGTTTATCCATTTGTCTTATTCATGATATTAATTATTCCTATTTCAATGTATAGTAGCACTAATGCAAATTCTCCATGCAGATATTTCATAACAAATATTGGGAAATATGTGGGACTAGCTAGATCCATAGATGGCAAACATTATAAGATGTTCATTTATAATACCATGTGGCACACACTTATGCACAAATTCTCGTATATATAACTTTTGTGTGGTAAACATTACCACAGAAAATTAAATTCAACTTCAGATTGTATTTTAGAGCTGGGACAACTAATAAGAGCCTTAAACAGCTAAGATGTTTGGTTTCTTTGCATCGCATATAATAGATGGAAGCTACTTATGGATTACCACCACTGACAGAGAATTATGCATGTAAAACTCATGACCTTAATAACTTCCTACCAGTGACATAAAATAAACCCAACAACTAATCAGTGATGAATCACACATCTCGTCTGTTACATCAGAACTCTCAGGTCACCTTACCTTGTTTTGATAGTCTGGTTTAAAATGCAGCATAGTCGTTGATAGCCTTTCAAACTGACGGGTCTTTTTCAAGCTTCCCGATCTCTGACCGGTTTTGCTTTTCATGACATTAGAGAATTACAAAGGAGATACAACAAAAGAGGAGTGGTTTTACTGCACTGTTGGACCATTCAACCTTCTTGTTTGCCATGTGAGAAAGCTTAGAGCCCTGAAATTATAACAGCATTGCTTCTGAGAGGGTACTGCTAACTAGATAATGTGGTGTTGGATGACACCCCGTCAGCACGGCAATTATCATGGTCCCGCTCTCACCTTACCACACTATTATAACAATAGGATGGAGAGATGTAGGAGGGTGGTAGTAGAAAGCCTGTTGTAAGGCAGGAACATTCCAACACTGGGTCTCTTAAAGTGCAAATCAATGGCAAATACCTGTTGACTATATGGTAAGTGAGTGTTGTGTTGCCCTCTCAACAACAATAGATTTTATGCATTCACCCTTTATTACCATTGAAAGATGGCTGTTTCAGTCAAGGGCAGTGCAACAATAAAATATAGTTCAAATAAATCCAGAGCCTTGATAATATGCCATTTGTGTTAAAAAGGTGGAATATATTCTTGCGCAAGCTAAAATTGAACTTGTCAAAATAAAGAAAAAGTCAATTAAGGTTAACTTTGTTCTGATAAAAAAGTACTTTGTGGGTATTATTAAATGGTGTCCATTTTAGAACTTTGATTGACAAAGACTATTACATTTCATTAGTGAGGTTCTTTTTAAAAATCAAGCAATCGGAGGTGCAACAAGCCAGGATGAAAATGTCAAGCAATTCAACTAATTTATTAATTGTGAAAATGTTAACATTACATGTTTAATTATTCCATAATTGTTTAAGTCTAGAGCCCATATTTATAGCCTATAAGTATACATTATTTATTTGAGTTTTTCTTAGCTGGGCCCAACACTTAAAAATAATTTGTTCAAAAGTTAAGCCAAGAGAGACAGCATAGTTTCGAGTAATCAGGGAAATGTGCAATGGTTTGGTGGTTAACACCGTTGCTTTAAAGTGTGCTGGTTTCCAAATTTGGCAGGACCCCTATGTGCATGTTTAACATACACATTATGCGGTTTTCCTTTGGGTATTCCAATTATATATATATAGAACAGTTCCAAAACGTATATGCTAGTGTTTTTACCCAATTGTAAATGTGTGGATTTTCTGTCACAAGTTCTCTTCTATGATGCATTGCTGGCCTGATAGGGCATAGCAACCAATCGAGTATTAAAAACAGAAAACTGAGATGCGTATAGAAAATCAACGGCAAAAGAAGGTATCCTTAAAGAAACTAACAGATTTTATATGTTGGCAGACTGAGGTGAATTTATCATAACCAGTTCACCGACTATCTGGAAAGTAGTCTCAGAGGAGAATTCCTGATGCTGACTTTATCTGTAAATCTGGTTCATCTGGGCTCAAAATAAATGATAAATTCCCATTGGTTTCACCAGTAATTGTATAGATTGGAATGAAAAAAATTTGGTTCAGCTATCAGTTTTTAATAATACATGACTGGTAGCTCAAGGTTGGACTGTCGACTTGTAAGCTGCCATGAAACAAGAGAGTGATCATGAATTATAAATGAGCAGGCAGACTCCCTATAATAGAATACACCAACTAAAACAGTGACATTTCTCTTTTCTTAGGAAAACTGAACCTCACCCTGCAAAGAAGATTTAGAAATAAGATGTATTTTTTTTACCTGCAATTTACTACTTATAATTTACCTTTTAACAGATTTTTTTTTTTCGTTTTCAGTACATTAGCAATAATATTAATTTCACTGTCTTGCCTGATATTCTGATCTTCAGTTGACAAAAAAAGCTTAAATGACATTCTCATGAGTTTACTGACAGATATTGTGAAACTCCTCTTATGTAGTAAAGGAAGTAGATGACTTTTTTGGAGTCATGTGGATTTTAAATACTGTAGATAAGTGTAGTCTAGAAGTCTTAGTATAAGACATGAATATTAAAGGTAAAACTACTTCATCTTTGTTCAGCATTTTTAGACTAAGCAACCTTAGGGAAGCTGGTGAAATAATATGCCACCATCTTGTGGACAGACGCTCACATTACAACCATCATATACAGATAGTGCTGTGATCCAGCAACTTTTACATGAGTTCTGCTGCATTGAGGAAGTTAATAACCAAAAATTTGCTCCTAAAGTCATTAGTAAAGGAATTTTAGGATGAATTCAAAGTTGAAAATGAAGTATACAATATTTCTATCAGCGTGTATAGTTGCCAAAGAATGTATTAAAGCTACAGTGTGTAATAATTACAGGGATATACAGTCAGAAATGTAATATATTATACATAACTATGTTATTTATCATCATCTACGAGCTCAGCCTATTTGCGTTGCCTTAGAATTCGTTATTTATAATTACATAGGAGCAGGTCTCGCAGCCATGGAGGCAGACATCTTTGCGCTACGGCAGCGCAGAGCCAACAAACTAGCGATTGCGAGATCCCCAAAACGTCACAACGGTGTGGAAAAAATAACGGGTATATTTATTATCTTAAGTCTACATGAAATCTATACCCTACACAGACTAATGAAATACTATCTGTAAAATTATCTATGTAAACAAACCTCATCACTTGAGAAGGTAGGTTATGAGGACGTCGTGGAAGACATTTTGTCCCGTAACGCTCCCCGTACTGTTGAGGGGGAGAAGCGGTGGGGGGGAGATGTTCATGTTGCTGCAGTCTGCAGTCTGACCGCTAGATGTCGCTAAAAGTTACACACTGTAGCTTTAAATGCTGTTAAATATTTTTTTTTTTTGCCACGTCTGTGTTTTGATTGTGAATCTAGATACAACTTCTACAGAAATCCCTTGTGATATATAGTTGTATACTCTAAATTAAAAAGAATAATAAGGACGGAATAAAACTAGATGTTGCATATTTGCATCCTTTCTATAAACATGAAATCGTGACCCTGAGCCTGCAAAACAAACTCCCAGTATAAACCCAGAAAAGGTTAACTGAACAGTTTCTGAACCGACACCCTCCTTATTTGCACCAGTGCAAATGTCTTTTTCTTTTTTTAGAAAATGTATAAATTAATAAAAGACATTTCTGTTTATCATTTGTATTCTGCTTTCAAAAATGTCTTTGCTGAGAGCGAATAGGCTCTATGCACAACTCTCCTGAAGGCAGCTCTTCTGTTTCCTATATTTTTCTACTGGATGCACTGATGAATCCAGACATGCCTGACCTCAGTAACCAGGGCCAGTGACACCTGGATTAATCAGTCCCCCAGTAATGAAAGACAGGAAAAAGCCCTAAATTCAACAAGTAGGCTACGTTCGGATCTATGGGATGCCTCCTGCGAAGGCGAGATTTGAAGGCCTGATTACATCATAGCACGGCGCCGAGGTCAGATCAGATTCCAAGACTCCTCTTTATGCGGCCTACAAATGTATTTCCTTTTGCCTGGTTTGAAGGATGGGTCTGGTGTATCCTATCTATCCTTAGATATCCCATGATTCATTGCAAAACCTGCTCCGTGATCAGAGGAAAAAGGTACTTGGTGCCGAACAGTAGTAAATATTGGAAGTTCCGTTTAATATAATATAGTATGTAGTCCCATCTGAAATTAATGAAAATAGTTGTTTTAATAGTTGTTGAGCCAGATATGTGGCTGGTATTGTTTTATTTATAAAAAGGTTTTTATCCATTACTGTGTAAATGGGTTTGGCTGTAATTTGAGGACAGATTCTAATATATCTGTAGTATGGGACTATAAATCTGATAGGATTTTATTTATTTTTTTTATCTGATATTATTTTTTAATTGCTATTTTGCGCAATTACCTTAACTAAGTATTTTTTGTTGATGAATATAAGAGATTTTGCAGATCATTTTTTATACATAAATGTTTAGATTGACTTATATCTTTATATCCCTTTTATAGAATAAAATAGGGGGGAAAAAATCCCTTTATTGTCCCACAATGGGGAAATGCTGGTGTTTACAGCAGTACAAAAGATTATAGAAAAAAAAGGTCACAAATGTGGATCTTAGAAAAATGTCTAAGAATAACAAAATAGCGAAGAGTTAAAACATAACCAATAATATACTGTACTGTAAATTGCTTTAACAATATAATACTGTGCACCTGGGGAAATAAATAATCAATATACAGCTAAGGACATGTTTACAGTAATGGATATGTGAAAATAGCAGAAACATCAGAGATGTGCAAAATGACAGCAGCATGTTATTTAACTGACTAAGGTTTATTTCATTACATTTGCTCTTATTTGTTCCTGCTCCCAGTGGTTGTCGCCTTTATTCCACTATGTTTTCTTATTAGTGTAGTCTTTGTTCACTTTACAATAAAAAATAGAAAATAAAATGAAAAAATAAACAGTCTTGAAAAGTTCAGTATTCATTCTTTTAATGCTTTGTTTTTCAACCATCACGGTTGCTAAGCGACAGAGCAGTAAAAACTGACTAGACTAACTATTAACGTAAAAAGATGATCGTAGCCTATTTTATGCACGAAATAAAATTTCAACAACATTTTTTTTAAAGTTATGTGAAATGTGAAATTAAGTAGCCTACTTTAATATTCACAGAAGTTTTAAATAAGACTTTACAACTTTAACAAATGGAAACAGATCTTTAGCTGGGCTTGTTACACAGAAAAGTATGTTTTGTGGGTAATGATTAGGTAGCATCAAAAGTTAAAGAAAACATCCTAAAGTAAACTGTAAAAAAAAAAAAAAATAAATAAAACCCAGAAAACTTTTGATATATATATATATACATCAAAAGTTATCTTGCGCATAATTAATTTATTGTCCAATTATTAAGCAGCCTACAAAATGTAGCTTAAGCTTTGTAAGTATTGAGGGGAAGATAAAACTCACTGATAATATTCAGTTATGTGCATTAAATGTGGTTTTTGCACCGACCTGCGCTTCCTTGAGCGTCTCCACAGACATAGATGACTGGCTGGCTCTGCTTTTGTAGTCCATTTTAGGGTTCCGTGAGCTGAACGACATGGCTTCAGTTTTTCCCTATAACATAAATCCTCTTTCAAAGCTAATTTAACGCGTTTAACCAACTTCTCTCCAATGGGCAGAGATTTGGCAATAACAGTTACCCTACAAGCGCTTCTGTAGTTCGTTTCCAAGGCAACAAGGTAGTTAAAAAGGTGGGGGTTGTAGAGGTTATTTTTTCCATTTAATTGAACTTTCTTCTCTTAAAGCCCTTTTTTAAAATTATTTTTATATTTCCATCAAAAGTTATCTTGCGCATAATTAATTTATTGTCCAATTATTAAGCAGCCTACAAAATGTAGCATACGCTTTGTAAGTATTTAGGGGAAGATAAAACTCACTGATAATATTCAGTTATGTGTATTAAGTGTGGTCTTTGCACCGACCTGCGCTTCCTTGAGCGTCTCCACAGATGACTGGCTGGCTCTGCTCTTGTAGTCCATTTTAGGGTTCCGTGAGCTGAACGACATGGCTTCAGTTTTTCTCTATACCATAAATCCTCTTTCAAAGCTAATTTAACGCGTCTAACCAACTCCTCTCCATTTTTTTCAGTTACTTCAGTTAAGTCGGCAGAGATTTGGCAATAGCCGCTACCTTACAAGCGCTTCTGTTGTTCGTTTCCAAGGCAACGAGGTAGTTAAACCCAGAAAACTTTTGATATATATATATACATCAAAAGTTATCTTGCGCATAATTAATTTATTGTCCAATTATTAAGCAGCCTACAAAATGTAGCTTAAGCTTTGTAAGTATTGAGGGGAAGATAAAACTCACTGATAATATTCAGTTATGTGCATTAAATGTGGTTTTTGCACCGACCTGCGCTTCCTTGAGCGTCTCCACAGACATAGATGACTGGCTGGCTCTGCTTTTGTAGTCCATTTTAGGGTTCCGTGAGCTGAACGACATGGCTTTAGTTTTTCCCTATAACATAAATCCTCTTTCAAAGCTAATTTAACGCGTTTAACCAACTTCTCTCCAATGGGCAGAGATTTGGCAATAACAGTTACCCTACAAGCGCTTCTGTAGTTCGTTTCCAAGGCAACAAGGTAGTTAAAAAGGTGGGGGTTGTAGAGGTTATTTTTTCCATTTAATTGAACTTTCTTCTCTTAAAGCCCTTTTTTAAAATTATTTTTATATTTCCATCAAAAGTTATCTTGCGCATAATTAATTTATTGTCCAATTATTAAGCAGCCTACAAAATGTAGCATACGCTTTGTAAGTATTTAGGGGAAGATAAAACTCACTGATAATATTCAGTTATGTGTATTAAGTGTGGTCTTTGCACCGACCTGCGCTTCCTTGAGCGTCTCCACAGATGACTGGCTGGCTCTGCTCTTGTAGTCCATTTTAGGGTTCCGTGAGCTGAACGACATGGCTTCAGTTTTTCTCTATACCATAAATCCTCTTTCAAAGCTAATTTAACGCGTCTAACCAACTCCTCTCCATTTTTTTCAGTTACTTCAGTTAAGTCGGCAGAGATTTGGCAATAGCCGCTACCTTACAAGCGCTTCTGTTGTTCGTTTCCAAGGCAACGAGGTAGTTAAACAGGTGGGGGTTGAAGAGGTTCTTTTTTCCATTTAATTGAACATTTTTCTCTTAATGGGGATAATTATACTTGGTTAATGTGTTTTGTTCTGCTGACAAATTTAAAGTTCATTAAGATTCTCTGCAGGGGATCTTTTCCCCAACTCAGAACCCTTCTCTGCCACACCAAAACCACTGCATCCTTACTTAGATCTGAATGACTTCTCTATATATTTCCTCCTCCTCAGAACTCTCATGGTTTTGTTGAGGCTTCTCACCCACATGTATGAAAATATCTAAAGAAGGAGAGGAATCAAATAGATTACATTTACTGAGTACCATTTAAGAATGTACAACAGTGAATGTGGGTCAATTGCAACTGTACAACACAAAATTAGGTCTGGGATGAAATGGCAGTGTAGGGAACCAAAAGTTTTGGAAGAGAGAATCAGGCCAGTTAGGAAATCCGCAGTTCAATGGGGAACATGAACATGTATAACTGGAATATGGGTGTTTAAGTTGAAAGAAGGCGATACACAGAAAAAACTGGAGTGAATAAACGGGGAGGCTAAGGTTAAAGCTGAGGTTTGGTTCGACATGGAGGTTAGGAAAATGCTCAGAATGAGGCTTGATGTTACCAGTGATGGTTAACACTCATGTGAAGAGTGACTGGCTTCCTGCTCCTCTTATGCTGCTAGAAGGACGAGATTGATGGGCACACCATCTCCAGTATGAAATAAAATAGAGTGCCAGATAAAACCAGTTTATGGAGTTCATTCTTGCTCTTTTTGTATTGAACAACAGTCCAACATACATTTAAAGAGGAAAGCTCATTTTTGACTTTGAGAGATCTGCCAGTTCTGATCTTAATGCCAGACTTTGATCCAAATTTCTACTTACCTGGGGCTCTGATTTTATAATGACATAATTTATTTATGCCTTTAAAATAATAATAATTTAGGTCTCTGGGATATGGGGAAATCTACAGAATGCATGCTTGCATATTTTCTTTTTTTTTTTAAATAGGCCGATAGACTACCACTTTAGTTAGAATTTAAGTCTGACATATGCAGAGGCCTTTAACACAGAGCCAGGAGTTTGTATTATTTAATTATTAAAAAACATGGTGGACCTAGTAAAGACGCACCGAATAAAACATTGCATGCACAACATAGATGATAAAATGAGTCAAGAGAAAAATCCTCAGTAGAGATTGGGAGTGAGTGATGGATGCAGACACTGGGTCATGTGACGCCGGGTCCGCTCGGAATCTGACTGTAAGATCTGTAAGATCCACGGCACAGGTAGATGAGCTGCCCTGACTCACCTGCTTCTCCAGTGTTATGAGAGGAGACAGAGAGGGAGAGAGAGGAGAAACAGGGGCAAGTTTATAATTATTCCCGATTACCGTTCGATTCAGAAAACAGTGTATGAATCCTGTTGGGCAGAAATTTAATTAAGATCATAATTCACAATGATGAGGAGCACAATGGGGCAAGACAGGCTTCACCACCTTGCCATCATGTTGGTTGAGATAGGAGAACTCTCCAAATTAAGCCAGTCACAATTGATTGACAGCTTTGCAAAAATGAGGCTGAGACGCTACGTTTACGGTAAAAAAAAAAATTGACATACAGCTCTCCCATCTTTCTGGCCATAATATACACACATGATCCTCATAGGAATATCACAATCACACCATCATAGGATGGGCCGAAATAGAAATGATTATTAACACAGGCATGTATGTATGCAGAGGTGTATTTTTGTTTTTCCTTTTACAGTTGCACATTTCAAGTTTTCAGTTTTCAAGTTCATGTTGGCTGACAGATATTTAATGAAGATAAATTGTGTCTTCATCAGTAGTGGATTAGAGATATACAGTACAGTTAAGTTCACAATGGGCCAATTCAATTCAGTTTGGTTCAGGTAGATATTTAGTGATGCAAAAAATAACAATCTGATTGTACAATTTATTTATGAAGCTTTATAATGAGTAAGTGATATAAAATATTTGCTTGCGTGCTTGCATTAATTATATGTGCTCATGCTTTTTTAAAATAAATAATTGCCCAAAAATGTTTTTGCTCGCACACTACTCCCATTTCTTTTGGTGCCCTATTGTGCCCGTGTAAAGTATCGGGTCAGCTGACGCCCCTGACTTACCCTAATAGTTTTTACCAACCTACCCTCATTTTTACCAACATGTGGACTTTGCAACTCTGTGTGAAAACACTTAAGACCTGGTTTACTCTAACATCAAAGATACATTCAGAGCAGCACCCTGCCCCACCTCGGGTCATCAGATTACCTCTCAGTCATGCTAATCCCTGTATATTAGCCCCAGCTGATCAGGGCTAAACCGACAGTTAAAGAGGTCCAAGTGTGGTCTGAGGCTGCCATCGAGAAACTCCAAGACTGTTTTGAATGCTCTGACTAGGCTGCGGCAACCTATGACAACTTATTGAATATAGATGAATATGCCATGACTGTGTCAGCCTGCATTAACAAATGCATTGAGGACCTCAGCATCAACACAACATCACTACCCAGGCCAACCAACAACGTTGGATGAATGGGGATGTTTGGAAATCGCCAAAAGCACGGATGTCAGCTTTCAAGTCAGGTGATAAAGAGGCACTGAGTGTTGTACTACGGATGCAAAGTGGGTTTCTGTCCCTTGTTACTTGCCGTAGCCTAGCAGGTGTCGCTAGGTATGCTGGGAATTGGTTTTGAGGAAGTCAATATGGAGGCCAATGTGATTGGTAAAGTAGCTGAATAAATTACAACTGAACTCTCCAGATATACGCCCTTTTTGCATGTAATGCATTACACTGAGAACAGCATGTGCCAGCTTAAACTATGACAGATCAGCAAAGCAGAACCACAGTCGAAAGATCTAGGATCTTTTCCACAACACCAGCAACACCAGGAGGATGTGGCAAGGCATACGGGTGATCATGTGGGACCCGAGAGGTGCGATCATCTAAAAAAAAAACAGACTGCGGTGATTGTGAACTTTTAATCAATAAAAGTTCAATAAAAAAATAAAAAGATAAGTTCAAATGAAAAAGATAAAAAAAGAAAGATAAAAATGCATCAAGAGCAGCAGAGTCAATGGAGCAGTCTGTTAAGTCCAACATGCGCCTCTCGCCAGCGTGCCTCTGCGCCTCGCTCCGGTGCGTGCCTTGCTGCGGTGCGCACCTCTGCGCCTCGCTCCGGTACATGCCTCTGCGCCTCACTCCAATGTGCCTCACTCCGGTGCGCGCCTCTGCGCCTCACTCCAATGCGCCTCGCTCCGGGGCGCGCCTCTGCGCCTCACTCCAATGCGCCTCGCTCTGGTGCACGCCTCTTCGCCTGTCTCCATGTGTACCTCCGCACCTCGCTCCAGTGGGCCTCTGGCAATCAGTCCCCAAACCTCTCCCGCTGCTTCTCTCTCACCCGCTCCGTCCGGCTCCCTCCATGATCGGCCTCTGTCTTGCCATGTCCGGTGTCTGTGTCCCTCCAACCAAACAGCTTCCCTTTTTAATCAGCGTCCCAGTCTGCAGGCTGTTTGGTGGATTAGAAACACCTGTGCTGCTGCTGTGGGCGTGTCCAGGTATACGTGGTAATGTGACCTCCAAACAAAATCAGAAAAACACATGCAACACAGAAAAATGAAACTAACAAGAAAGTAATTAAGTTCAAAATAAAGCAAATCCAAAAATAGAAAAAGACATGCAAAACTTGACAAAAAGGCCACATTACCACATGATCACAGACTACAACACATCCTCCCCCCAGTAGATATAGCAAGCTCTGACTACCTAAATGAACTGAACAACATCTTTGGAAGGTTTGAGACACTAAACAGCACTCCAGCAGTGAAAGCCGTTCTACACCACAGAGAGGTGGCATTTAACCCGGACATAGAAAGGCAAGGGGCCCCAGGCACTGATAACATACCTGTGCTGGTGCACGAGGAATGTGCAGATCAGCTGGCTAGTGTCCTTTTAACAACTCGCTTGACCAATCCATAGTGCCAGCATGGTTCAAGTCTGCCACCATTATTGCGGTCCC